AAGACAAATACAGAAAACCTTGACACTGAGCTACAACCTGGTATCAGTGAGATGACAAAAGAAGAAGAAGAAGATGAAAACTTTGCATGACAAGGCAGATGAATTATTTTCTTTCAGGAGATAAACAAGGAGAAGATAAGAATATTGTGATGGCAACTGTGATATTTATTTATGTTTGTCTGTTGGCATCTTATACTGCATCAGGTATTCTAAATTCCTGGAACATGAAAATCTACACAGTACAAATAAAATGTTAAAAAATCTGTCAGCAGTTAACAAAATGTTTGTACATATGTTAGTAAATAAACTGCCAACTCAGTAAATTCAAAACAATGTTTTCCCATTGTAAATTGAAATAATGCAAACACAAACAATACATTGCATAATTTATTCTCTGACAGTGAAATATGCCAAGCAATAAATTGTGCAATGTATTGTTTTTGTCTGCACTATTTAAAGTCAGTAAATATCAAACCGACTTTATAATATTAATCAAATCTCTTCTTGGACTGTATTGTAGAATAAGACTGTTTTTGTGACTTATGGGCAGTGGTGAAAGAGTCACTTCATGAAAGAGATTTGTGCCTTACCATATAATATTCCCCAAAACAGTAGTGGACGTACAAATCCACTGCAGCCAACCTCCACTGTGGAGATAGTTGTGTGTCTTTTAAAGAACATGGCCAACCAACCCAAGCTTTTGTTAGCTGTTTGTGGTTTTCCTAGGTAATTTTTATTTTCAGTAGTTCGCCATTGCTTTCTCAACGGTCGGCTTTCCATTCCATTGCTAAAATCAATGCCTGCTGCTGAATGGAACAAGGTACTTTAGAATTACCAACCATGTTCATAACCCTTAAGCAACAGAAGCATGTAAATTAATTTAATAACGAATATTAAAATCTACACAAATATGAATCTAAAATCATTTGCCCCGATGCATTTTACTTCTTTTTTTTTCTTTTTTTAAACTCTAAAGAATAATAAGATTCTTCTGAGAACTGAAACAATCAAATGTAACATACTGTTGCTTTCCGTAACTGTTTCTTTTCCTGTTTGGCTTCACTTCTCTCCTGTATTAGATCTTCTTTCAGCTGCACCATGCCGTCTTCTAAATCAACAACCTGTGACATGTTGGAACAGACTTAGTTATGCATTTTATTCTTTATATATTTACATTTCAGCAGGCAAGTACAGATACAAGAATAATAAGAACTTCTTCTTTTTGCTTCTTCATTTCCTCTTTTGCTGCTCTGGGTGTCAAGGGATATATTCGATTTTCTTCTTACTCTTATGGCTGCCTCAACCATGGACTCGTCGCACTGTTATAGAGCCTTCTGTTATTTATTTCTCTCGTGCTATACGTCCCTCTTCTCTTTTGGTGTATGCTGTGTATGGTTTGGCATCGCAGAGCATTCTTTCTAAGCAGGCAAAACTATTTCATTTGCAACATTTTTATAGACAAAGTAATGACTGACTGTGAAAAAACAACATAGAGCATCAATACTTGTCACAGGCAAGTGGTCTAAACAAAACTTTCACCTAATAATATTAAAGGATGGATACATTACAAAACTGAAACATTTAGACACACTGCTAAAAATATCAAGAGCAAGATTATGTATACTGATATATTCACCATACCACTGCATCAGCCCACTGTAAAATGTTGCTTCTTTCCTGTTTGCCCTCAAAGTGATGGTCACATTCAACCCCACCAGGACATCACACCAAGCAATAAACACTTGGTGACACAAAGTGCCACCATTCGGATCAGGATCATCCGGGGACAGGTCCAAGAAACCCTGTTCAATCCATAGGTTGGGTTATATTAGGGTCCCGGCAACAGTCAGGGTGGGAGCTTTAAAACAACAAAATACTGCATCTAAATTGGGACGCTGGTATATAGTGATGATTTGCCCTCAAAAGGCAGTTGGATGGTTTATAACTAGGCTACATTATCTGCACCTCTCAGCCTAACACATCCGATTTTAACTAACGCCTATTTAGTCACCTTTTATGACATGCTTGTTTGAGGGCTGTAGGTCTACCCCCAAGAGCAGCTTGAGGCTCGCCTGCAGATTTTGAGGTCATGGGTTCAAGTCCTGATGTGGGCGGAATTTTTTTCAAAAACTCTCTTGTCTCCCAGGTCGATTCACCCTTAAATGGGTACAGTGTCAAGTCAAAGGAGGTAAAAATGTTTAACACATCACCCAGCGAGTTTCAATTAGTCTATAAAATATAGGTCCAGCCCTGTATGCCTAATACACCTAAAGCCATCGAAAAGGGTCCTTTACTTTTTTTTTTTTTTTTACGTCTACCCCCACACGCACATTCAAAACATGGCCCTGGACCTTACATGGGGAATAACTGCAGGGGAAAAATATAATAAAATCAATGAAGCCTCAGTCAGAAAAAACTTACATTTTGATTGAGTTGTTTCACATGGTTTCTGGTCTCATTCAGAGTGATCTGCATCCTAGAAGCACATAGAAAATTTAGATGTTAAATCAGTCACCAGTTGTTCAGTGCTCTTTTCATACTGCCTCAGCCATTTTAGGAATGACAACAAACCAATAACTAAAAATGACTTTACTGAAGTCTCACAATTATACAAACAAGAGTATAAATTACTAAACAGTTCTTCTTCATGTACTTGAGTTTTGCGTGCACATCCATTTTGCAGATCTGGATTACTAGTATGCAGACTGCTGGTTCCTTGCCTCTCGGGCAGATGTACTCTGACTTCAAAGGAAACATCCCTAATTAGTTTACTCTTACAACATACTTGAGGCAGTGCGTCTATTCCAGAACCCCAGAACCTATATGGGGAACTAAACAACAACTTAAGCAGAACAATTAAAAAAACATAAATATAAAAGAATCCGAAGAGAACAATAATAAAACATATACGAGGTATGTTCAAAAATTATTCAACCTGTAGCATGGAAGAAATAAATTACCCACCAAGCTCCTAGATGAACCCATCCTAGAAATGAGAACAGGAAATGTCCTAGGAAGAAAAGGTAGTTGGTGAGATATTAACCACATCACCAATAGAGTGCTGTGGTCTAAAAAATTCAGGACTGGTATCGTAAACTCATGGAGTGAAAAAAAAAGTCCATTACTCTGACACTTTTAGAAACCTCAGAAGCTGCTGGGTTTTGTGTCAACAGGAAATGTAACTCTTTTTGTCCTGGAAGATTTGGCAGCAAATCCCTAAGTGGGACAACAATTATAAACACTAAACAGAGACTTAACATAGGAGTGTGGCCAATTGAGTAGTCAGATTTCCAGAGTAAGGTTTGACCAAATGTAGGATGTAAAAACGTCAATAAAAACTCATTATTCATTGGTTGTGACACACAAGGACTATCTCATTACACACTATGTTGTTTGGGGCCGAAAGAGTTAGGCAGACCAGCTAGTAACATTCTACACATTTAGTACAAAGTAATATGCCTCTCTGCCTAAAATATCACTAACATACTTACATAGCCTTCTCTGCCATTTTTTTGTTGAGCTGTTCAATAATTTCTTCATGCTGTTGTCTCAGTAGTTCACTTTCAGGTCTGACAAGAAGAGGATCATGTTAAATGTTGTTATATTTTATACATTAACCCTCCCTCCATGAACATAGTGAAAAAAGGTAATGACCCCACTGGAATTCCAGAAAAAAATCTATTAAAAAATAATTTTACATTGATCGCTTATAGTTTGGTTTATACAACCGATCAAGATCATGGCACAAGAGTAGTAACCCATAAATGCTCAGTTCTACTTCTTACTCAAGTCCGAGTCCAAAGAATCTCAGCGCAGTGCAGGAACTCCGTAGAACCAGTGAGGATCTTTAAATACTTTGGGTAGATTTTCAACTCCTCAGGCAGTGCTGTTGGGCTACTCTTTTCGATTTCCAACTACCAATTTTTTTTATGTATGAAACAATACACACGGGCGTCTGATCTTACTACCTAGAGACCAGATGAAAGTACTAGAAGTCCATATGAAAAAAAAAAATCCCAGCCTTCATGGTGGCCTAAACTCGGGTCTCCAGCACTCAAGGTTGACGCTTGCCTCAAGACCACTCAGCCACCCAGAGATCACTAATAAATTTGTTAAATACAGTTGAGGTCACCCTAAACTCTGATAAGATGAATTTAGCCAAAGTCGACATGACCAGCTTAGTCCCTGCCAATGTTCTTATTTATCATTGCATAAAAAATCCAGTTAAGTCAAATTCGGTAATTCGAAAATTTTGATTAGTCAAATCTAAAAATGAATACTGACTATTCACATGCTGGTGATTAAGTCAAACCGTTTACTACCACTTTAAAAAAACTAAATTAATTGTTTTATGACAGAATTATTTTCAGTCAGCCTAGAAAACTACATGAAATCTGGCATACATGATACCTCTCAACACATCAGCAATAGTGCCTGGTCTTAGTGCACCACAGTAAATGGTTCTTCACCTTTGCATCCCAGTTAATAATGTAACTAGATATTCCTGTCTCTATGAAAAGAGAATAAGGGCTTTTGAGCTGAAATGCTATAGAAAGATTCTCAGAATATCTTGGACGAAAAAGAGGAGAAATACTGACATCTTGAAAGATCTGAACATCAAAGAAGATTGGCTAATAAACAGCATCCTGTCTCGGAAGCTGAAATATTTTGGTCATATCACGACGGATTGGAAAAAATTATAGCAGAAGGCATGGTACCAGGAAGGAGGGGCAGGGGCCGACAGACGCGATGATAGGCACAGGATATAAGTGACTCCTTGAGTGTGAAAGTGCATGAGGCAGGAGAACTGGCGAGAGACCGAGTTTCTTTCAGGCAGACAGTGATGAGAGCGACGTTCTGCAAAGGACCTGCTACATGATGATGATGATGAAAAGCCCAAAGTTAAAGAGATAGAGGGAGAGAATGTTGAATTAAGAATTGACATCATAGTACTTGGGAAACTCCCATATGCCTCTGTTCCCATCTTCAGCCGCAAGTGAAGAGTTCCAAATCCGATGGGACCAGTAACTGTCAGACTGTACATCCATCTCGCTTTTTCCTTGAGCGTCGAACTTTATAATTTGTCTTCTCAAGAGAATAGGACACAGAAATGAACAATATGGAGACATAGATGGAGCTGCAGGAGAACAAAGGATAGTTGGGCTTGATGTGAGCTGGCTGAGGGCCTATGCTCCATTAAGATATAATAGAACAGAAGATGTGGGTAATTAACAGATGTAACACTCTTTCAGTTGTTACATTTCTTGGGTAATAATTGTGTAGATAACTTACTGTAATACTAAATTTTCCTTATCCAAACGATCAGCCTCTGTTTCCAGATTCAAGATATTGTTCTTCATACTGTCCAGCTGACTCTGCAAGTTCTTCAGTGTGTCTGTGTTTAACTGCCTCGCAGCACTCACAGCCACTTTACATGTGATGTGCATGAAGATGGGAAAAAAAGAGACAGTGAGCTTGCTGATACATTTCAGTAGCAAAGCTAATGAGGAGATTTAACAATGAAACATTAGTGTTAAAAATAGGGTATGATGTGGCCTCGTGCACTGGTCGCTACGACTGCCATACAGGCCATCCTACAACACTTCAAAGCATCCTGGGCAATACAACTCTTGTGAAGTTTCGACAGGACTAAGAATCCAGCAATGGATTTATTATCGCTACACACAATACAATAAGATATAAATGAATTGATCAAATGACCTACTGATTATAAATTGCATACAAAGACAGCGAACAAAATGGTTTTCCCACTTGAAGAGAATGCCCTGCGATGCCATATCATAGAGGCATACACTGAAGATAAGGATAAACATTCATTCATGCATGGGATATTGAAGGGACTGAACAGGAAAGAATGGAATGGAGAAATAGACTGTGAGCCCTATGTGACATATAATGGTTCAATAGAACAATGATGATGATTAACTTACCATGTGTGTCATAAGAGGCATTTATGCAGGGTTGGTCTAAGACTGGCTACTTCATCCCATAGAATAATAGCTGAAAACTCCCCCCCCCCCCCCCCCCCCCCCCCAAAAAAAAAAGAATCCATCATAAACAAGTTTAGGTGGTTGTAAGAAATAGAAGAAAAAAGAGGAACAGGATTCAAAGAATGAGAAAGAGAAGAGAAAGAAGAGGAAGAAGAAAAAGAAGAAAAAATATAAAACAGAAATATATTTGTCCTAACTAACTTTTGGCGGCAGAGGACTTTGCAGCAGATACCCACGGGAAACAGTCGCCACAATGAAAAATACAAGTACCTATTACTTTCTAAGAGGCAGATAGTGTTCAGCATGTTTAAATATCTAACCAGATTTCTTTATTGTGGCCAGACCAAATGTAAAATATATAACAAAAACGTTATGTGTAGTCTTCTGATACACACAAACAACAGATGTTTCAAACAACAGATGTTTCAAACAACAGATGTTTCACAAACAACAGATGTTTCAAACAACAGATGTTTCAAACAACAGATGTTTTAACACTGTGCATTGTTTAGGAGTTAAAACTTACTCATGGTTTCAGCCTTGATCTGCTGTGGCAACATTTTGAGATCATGTCTGAGAATGCTGCATTTGATGGTCTCAGTTTCCAGCTTTTCGTGCATCAGTTTCCTCTCGTCTTCCTGTTTGAAGACAACATGGATAATGAAAACAACACTGACTTGATAGTAAGAAACCACTTTTGTTAAAAGTGTTAACTAGAGTTTGCAGTTTTTTTTTTTTTTTCATCGAACACCGGCTGTGAATTCCAGTGGAAGGTCCCGGTTAATCGTCCGCTTGGACTTTTGGCCTTCACCTGGACCTGATTTTTGCGTGTACAACCGTTTTTAATTTCCCTGCCTCTTGGGCAGCTGTACGCCGACTTCGAAGGAGAGAGTTTGCAGTAGAACTTATCTGATGTCAAGAAGTAAATATTAAAAGCCTATTAAAAGGTTTAGTTTATACTGACTTCCAAAAATTTGAACGTACTATGAAAGATGTATTTGTGTGTTGTATTCCTGTGTTTATCTCTGCATGTATGTATATATATGTGTGTGTGAGTTTGAGCATATGTGTGTATGCATGCCTGCATGGGTATGCGAACATAGTGAAGTATACTAAGTATTTTCCAAGGAACATGATTAAGGGAAAACAATAATGAAAATTGGTGGACAATGAAGATCTGAATTCAATGGCATTAAATTCCCTATGTGGCTTCCGAGGCCCTATTGTAGGGAAAACAAGAATAGACCCACTGCCTACCCAAAAGCATGTAAAAGTCGACTAATTGGGAGCTTCCTTCAAAGTCGGAGTGCATCTGTCTGAGAGGCAAGGAACCAGCAGTCTGCATACAAATGATTCAGATCTGTAAAACAGATGTACATGCAACACTCAGATTCTGGAACAGGACTGCAGTCCAGAAGTGGATGAACAACATGAACTTTCTGCCAGAGTTTACAGCTAATGAACGTTAAAAAGAAGAAGAAGAATGGTGTTAAATACCCAAAATGTAGTAAGACTCCTGTCAGACAATGTTATGGATCAAAACATTTTTTTTTAATGACAAAAATGTAATTGAAGCATTAGATTGCTTAATGTTACATATCTGAGAAAATGATAGATGGATTAGAATTGTAATACAGTTATTGTAAAGTGAAACAGGTCACAAAACAAAACTCATCTGACATAAATATTATTACAAATTAACTTACTAATTCATTAATGGCACCAATAACTTGCTCCAAATTAATGACATCACTGTCTTCAAAGTCAAATTCACCACTTCGCATGCGGTTACCTGGGAGGAAAAAAATTGTATAAACACTATTTTATTTATTCTTCTTCTTCTTCTTCACTTCCTCTTTTACTCCTGTGGGTGTCGAGGGAGATATAAGGTTCTGTTTCTAGCTCTTCTGGACGCCTCGACCATAGGTGCATCGTGCTGTTGTAGAGTTTCTTTGATGTTATCCTTCAATCTTGTTCTTGGTCTACCTCGTGCTCTACGTCCTTCTTCTCTTTCCATGTATGCTTTGTATGGTTATAGTGTCACAAGGCATTCTCTCTAAGTGGGCAAACCATTTCAATTTTACCATTCTATAATGATCACACGAAAATTACTGACCTCATGAAAAAATATTAGGCAAAGAAAAGTATAGAAAAATATATGCTACAGCTTAAACATCAAGAAAACAAATAATTTTGATAATAACAATATAAGCAACAGCAACTTCATGAAAATATCAGATGACAGAGACGATCAGAAAGTCATGACTGTCACTGTTTGTCCAGGACCAGGTAGAAGAAAGAAGAGAAGGAGAAGAGATCACAAAATAAAAACTATAATTTCTGGTAATTTTTAGAAAATAAACTGAATCCAAGACTTTCCGACAAACCACTACACCATGATGGCTCCCTAGGGTATGGGTATACTCCATCAAAGGAGAAGCTTTTTTCCCTCCGCACGACACCCTTGGGCAAGGTGAAGTACCTGTTCCCCTCCCCTTGTCTGGGTAACAGGAAACCATGTGATCAGGTGGTGCACTGAGGTTGAGGGCAGCTGACAGACAACTGTTGGTCAGGGCCTCAAAAATGCTGTGTTTTTAAACTATTCAGTGATTTCTTGGTTCCCCCAAGCATGACTTCTTGGTTCTCCCAAGCATGACTTCTTGGTTTCCCCAGGCATGACTTCTTGGTTCCTCCAAGCATGACTTCTTGGTTCCCCCAAGCATCACTTATTAGTTCCCCCAAGCATCACTTCTTGGTTCCCCCAAGCATCACTTCTTGGTTCCCCCAAGCATGACTTCTTGGTTCCCCCAAGCATCACTTCTTGGTTCCCCAAGCATCACTTCTTGGTTCCCCCAAGCATCACTTCTTGGTTCCCCCAAGCATCACTTCTTGGTTTCCCCAAGCATCACTTCTTGGTTCCCCCAAGCCTGACATCTTGGTTTCTCCAAGCATGACTTCTTGGTTCCTCCAAGCATGACTTCTTGCTTCCCCCAAGCATGACTTTTTGGTTATCCCAAGCATCACTTTTTGGTTCCTCTAAGCATGACTTCTTGGTTCCTCTAAGCATGACTTCTTGGTTCCCCCAAGCATGACTTCTTGGTCCTCTAAGCATCACTTCTTGGTTCCCCCAAGCATGACTTATTGGTTCCCCAAGATTGACTTCTTGGTCCTCTAAGCATTACTTCTTGGTTCCCCCAAGATTGACTTTTTGGTCCTCTAAGCATGACTTCTTGGTTCCCTTAAGCATCACTTCTTGGTTCCCCCAAGCATCACTTCTTGGTTTCCCCAAGCATCACTTCTTGGTTCCTCTAAGCATCACTTCTTGGTTCCCCCAAGCATCACTTTTTGATTCCTCCAAGCATCACATCTTGGTTCCCCCAAGCATCACTTCTTGGTTCCCCCAAGCATCACTTCTTGGTTCCCCCAAGCATCACTTCTTGGTTCCCCCAAGCATCACTTCTTGCTATGGCGCTCCACTATCTCGACTACCCCTTGACCGTGGCGAATGCGACCACGCTGGCAGTTCCGACGCAAGAAGTAGCTCATGACTGTTTTCCTGCGACTATAGTGCCACATCCGAGAGTATCTGCCGCTACGCGCGGCGCAGAAGGGGCTAAACTAGATGGCTAGGACTCACGAGCAAAATCAATGGAGGAAGCTGCAGGAGAAGCGGTAGCTGCTGCTCGTGAGTCCCAGGGATCTAGTTTAGCCCCTTCCGCGCCACTACGGGTGGCGCGGGGGATACTCTCGGAGGTGGCACTATAGTCGGCGAAAAGTGGTCCGCAACTTACATATAACTGTGGCCCTGATGTAGGATTGTGCTATCAGGAGTATTCTTGCGTGTCGCTAATTTTTCGTCTGTAGCTAATCGTAGTTTTGCCACCTTTTAAACGTGGTAAAAAAGTCAGTTGCGTTTCACGAAAATGTTGTGCGCAATTAATACTACTTTTGACGCGGTAGATTCGTCGCAAAAGAAATGCGAATTTTAGATATGAGTGAGGCTCTGTTAGGGTTAACTTTCTGCGTAGATCATTTGGGACCGTTATTCAAAGGAGAGCCGATTTTTTTTTGGCAATCCTAATTTCATAACAAGACATTCCTAGTATTTCAAGTGCATCGTGATAAGGGGTTATGGAGTACATCAGGACAAAGGCAATGGGTGAGAGAGACCAAGAAAGAAGATCTCATACAATTTAACATCACAGCAGAGAGAGAGAGAGAGAGAGAGAGAGAGAGAGAGAGAGAGAGAGAGAGAGAGAGAGAGAGAGAGAGAGAGAGAGATCTGTATAAAACTGTTGTCAGAATCCAAGACGGAAAGACAGATGATACTGAGTCATAAACTATGTAATCATAAGAATAAGAGGCTCTCCTTTGAATCGTTCCCCAAAATGGCGGCTTTAATATGATGGCGTTTGAAAGAGAGCTAAATTGGCCAATTTCTGGCCATAAAATATCCACAAATATCCTAACGCGGGTCAGTTCTATTAAAAATATATGTGCCGGCTCCGGATAACGAAACAAATGCTCTGACAGGGTTTCGGCGATACGTTGCTTGCCGACCTGCTTCTGCGAGTGTGCCTCACTGCCAAACAGATGGGGGCTTAACTAGATGGCTGGGACTCACGAGCAGCAGCTACCGCATCTCCTGCAACTTCCTCCAAATACTGTACTCGTGAGTCTACCGCTGCTAAATCCTCCAATCGGAAGAACAAAGTATTGCTAATCGGCTTTCATCGTCTGTAATGTCTCGAAATTGGTCAACGGTTGCTAATATCGTCTGCAGAAATGCTCGAAATTGTTGTCAACGGTCTGTATTTATTGTCTGCTACTAGTACCGTGTGCAAATGTTGATATTGATTGTCAAGTAATCCTAGTTTTGCCGCGATTTGTTCCTTGGCAGAAAGTCCGTATTTTAGATATACGCGAACACCGTCGTTCGGATATTTTTGGATATTTCATGGCCAGAATGTGGCATGCCGCCATTTTGGGGAATGATTCAAAGGAGCGCCAAATAAGAGCTAAATTAGTTTATTTAAATTTCTAACGGTAAATGCTTTGACAATACCTAGTTCCTGTAGTTTTCCAACGGCGACATTTACATCTAAAACTTCAGCTACTACAGCCATTTTATAGGTTTCTTAAATCAGCAATAATTATGCTTTATATTAATAGACATGTGTCAAATGGTTCACTTTTCCGGACGTTGGTCCGCCATTTGCAAACATTGGTTGTCAACATTAGTATGTTTAACTTAGAAAACTGAAGAGTTTTGACTGCGTGAGCTTTTTGAAGATCGGATACTTACGAATATGGCTAGCTGGATAGCAAAACGTTAAAGGTCATTTTTGAAGCGTATTTGGTATATAGGGTTAGACCTATAGTTTATACCAATTGGGTGGTGGTGTGGCGATTAACATCACGCAGATAACCTTTATTTCCCAGGACTTTGCCTGGTACCCATTTAAGACTGGGTCGACTGGGAGTTAGGATCATTTTTTTAAGTTCGGCTCCGCCAGGACCTGAACCCACGACTTTTCGACCCACAGGTGAGCGACTAACCGCTACAACACAGCGACTCCCTGGGGTATGGGGTGTACTCCATCAAAGAAAAGGTCAGGAGCCTTGGTTTAGCTTGCATTGCGGGGGAAAGGGGGGGGGGATCACGTTCACCCAGCATCCTCAAAGGCGAGCTTTAGGTTATAATTGTGACTAGGTTATGTGAGCCATATAAAATGGCTTAACACTGCTCGCCAGCAAGTAGCCATAGAAAGGACTCCTGCAGTGCTGATGCGATCAAAGGAGATAGACTCAAACACTGTCCTGACGTCGACAAGGTCCTGCCGGCCAGCCAATGGGCGACCCGGTCGCCGATGTTGAGTCAGGAGCCTCCTTCCATCCACAAGACTATGGAACACACTTGGGTAATGTGTAGTACCTGTTCCCCTCCGCCTATCTGAGTAACAGGAAACCACGTGAGCAGGTGATGGGCTGAGCTTGAGTGCAACTGACAGATTCAGACAGCTGTAGGTTATGGCCACGACCAGCTCCAGAATATGCAGCCAGACGTGGTTATTGCTTCAGATTCCTAGACTGTAGGCTTAGGATCCCACTTTATTGTGGCTACTGTCATCTGACCAGCATGGTTACCGCCTAAAGCAATGGCAAACTATCTCCTTTAAGATATCAAGAATGATCAACTGCTGTAAGCGGAAAGAGAGAGAGAGAGAGAGGGGGGGGGGGGGGGTTGTTAAAGTCTCATTTAAAGATTCTTTTATTGAGTACTATGGAGTTGTGCCATTGGTTTTGGAAACAAAATCTGCTATGACTGTTAAGTCCAAAGCCGGGTGGCCGTCTTTTCACATAGTCCTCATAAACACGATGATACTTTTTTTGTTTGTTTTAAGGCTGGTTTGCTCGCAGACGTCTCCTCTCTATCGCTTGCTGCGTTTGTCCTCTTTCAAACAGCGACAGTCCGTCTTTCATTGACTGCCTCCAAATGAATCAGTCTGCAGCTGATCTCTCCATGTCAATGTCGATGTCTTTCAGGTCGCGTTTGCCTATGTCATTTGGCCTTCCTGCAGATCGTATGTCTGTTAATAGTTCACCATACAGGAGATCCTTTGGAATGCGACCATCCTCCATGTAAAACTTGTATTGTTATATATATTTGCAAATGAGACATTGACAGTAACTAGTTAGTTACATAAAAGCCATGTGCACATGGGGATTAGCACCTGTGACAACAGATCACGTCTATACTATTTGCAAATGTGGAGAACAATCATATAGGCCTAATGACAGGAAAAGATTTAGGTACCTGCACCTACTATTCACCAGGTGCGTTCCTGGGAATTAAAGGCAGCCGGCGTGATGCCGACCACATCACCCACCAAGTGCCGATTGGTCTATTAAAATATAGGTCTATCCCTATATTCCCAATACGCCTAAAGGCGTGGGAAAAAAACTTTTACCTAATGTTCACTGGCCCCTTTACTTTTATGTGGCAAACATAACTAGGAGGAAAACATTTCTTTTTCCAAACTTATTCTTGTCTGGCAAGTTAATTTTGTGAGCATTTTCAAGTGGATATTTGGCTATCCTTCGAATAACGAGCACTAAAGATGGCAGTCACGTGCCAATTGCGCACTTCCGGCTACTTAATTTGCGGTTTTCCGGCGACTGTCGCCACCGCGGCCCCCACGCCGCGTAGATTGGGGCTAAACTAGATGGCTAGGACTCACAAGCAGAGCTGCAGGAGATGCGGAAGCTGCTGCTCGTGAGTCCTAGCCCTCTAGTCTAGCCTCAATCCAAGCCACGTGAGCGGCCATATGGCGGTAGCGGTTGTTGGCAGAAGACCGATGGAAAACCGCCAATTAAGTAGCCGGAAGTGCTCAATTGACACGTGACTGCGGCTCAAAAGGATATTTTGCGGCCGCCATCTTTAGTGCCCGTTATTCGAAGCATAGCCAGATATTTTTTTAAAGTAAATAGATTATGCAGGTTAAATTAGTAACGATACGGGTCCTTTTGGGAATGTTCAGTTGCCCCTGTGGCATTTGTAAACCCCCTCCCTCTTTTTTTCTCTCCAAGTCTCATTTGCATTACTAAAGCCACATTCTTTTCTAAATAAATTTAGTCAAAGTTTAGTCCGACAATGAATTAAAAAGTAAAAGGACCCTTTTCCCACCTCTGGCATATAGGGTATTTACTGCCAGACCCAGATTTGTATAAATAAATTAGCAAAGTGAGTTATGTGGTAAACATCACGCTAATCAGATTTCCCGTTACCAATTGTAACCAAGTGAAGTCGCCAGGTGTTAGCGGCAACCACGTCCGGCTGTGGACGCAGAGGGACTCAATTCTTGCACAAGAACGGGAATTCCCGTTCGAGCTGTACGGCCTTATAAATATGGAGCTGGTCGTGGCGGCAACAAACTCGCCTGTAAGTATTAAGGTCTTGGTTTTGAATCCAGACGGTGCCGGGCTTTTTATGTGTTTGTTTGTTTGTCACAAATGACCTTGGCTCCCACGTCGACCCAGCCTTGGGTGGGTACCAGGTAAAGTCTCAGGAAGTAGTGGCGACTAGCATGATGACCACGTCACCCACCGAGTGCCGACTGGTGTATAAAACATAGGTCTAGCCCTACATGCCCACACAAAGGCGTGGAAGAGGATCATTTTAGACTAGATTAGACTTGGAGCTCAGTTCAGTAGTAAAATCCATCTTGATGTAGATTCAAACCCACGGCTGTGGATCCGAAGACTGTGGATTTAATCCGAGCAGAGCCGGACTCTTTTCCTTCTTTAAACTTGATTTTGTCTCCCAGGTCTATCCAGGCTTAAAATGGGTACGAGGTAAAGTCAGAGGAAGTAAAGGCAGCCGGCGTGATGTTGACCACATCACCCATCAAGTACCGACTGGTCTATAAAATATAGGTCTAGCAGTGTATGCCCAATACGCCTGAAGGCGTGGAAAAGTATCCTTCATGTTATTTTTTTTATACACAAAAGCAAGAGAAGGAGCTGGTTAGCATGCTGGGATCTCAGGTAAGGAAGGACATTTTCTGTTGGACCCCCCCCCCCCCCCCCCCCTCCTTTTTTTTTTAAGCAAGTGGTAAATAACGACAGTTAAGACAGTACACTACAGGAATCTTACAACATATTTGCTCATTTATATTTAGCTCCCATCAGTGTCATACTGGGCCCAAAACCACATTTCTAGTTCAGTGCTGGCCGTTCAAAAACTGACACCCACACAGTGGAATCTTGATGTATGAACCAGGGAGAAGTCACCTAGTAGTGCAAAGCCCATGATATATTTATTCACAAGAGAAGAGTTAACTGAACTGATGTCGTTATGGGTCCAGAGGGAGGAGTTGAAAAATTGGGGCTGCAGAAAGGTGAAGAACTGGTGCAAGAATTGCACCACCTTTACCCCCGTGTGGGTTCCGGGGCCCCATTGTGGGGAAAACAAGAATAGACCCACTGCCTCCCCAAAAGCATGTCGTAAGAGTCGACTAATTGGGAAGCTTCCTTTGAAGTCGGAGTGCATCTGCCGGAGAGGCAAGGAACCAACAGTCTGTATTCAAGAGAATGAGATCTGTAAAACTGATGCACACGCAACACTCAGGTTCTGGAGCAGGACTGCAGTTCAGTAGTGGACGAGCAACCAGAACCTTCCGCCAGAGTTTACAGCTGGTGAACGTGAAGAAGAAGAAGAAGCACCACCTTTAGGATTAATTATGTAGCGAACTTAATTTTACACCAATTTTCATGTATGTGCCTTGACTTCCTATTGAAGTGCAAAACATTTTTCAAATCCCTTCATGCAGTTGTGATTATCCTGACCTTATTACCGCTATTGAGCAGCTGCTCAAACTTTCTGGAACTGAAAGAGTTAAGTGAACTTCCTCAATCACACAGAGGTCCATGGTAACGACAGAAGCTGTTGTGGCGGCTTCAACTGAGACCAAACAAAAAGACAAAGACAATAGGCACCACAAGGGCAGGATACTGCAGACTGACAATGACTTCTGTGAACCAACAAGTTTAAGATAGATTTGGTATGAATAATGATAAAAGCAGGCAGTGTGAAGAAGTATATAAAGAAAAAATAAATAAATACAAATGCAAAGTGGAAAAGGACAGTTCTACAAAAGCATGAAACCTGTTTTAATGAACATTATATATTCAAATTATAACCTGAAGGGTTGAAATGCTATAATTTATATAAAATTGCCTGATGCTATACCCCGAAAGGTTAGCCTTTTCCATTCTATTGTGTATATTATATTTATTACCTATCGCAACTAAACATTTGGTAGAGACAACTGAGCATAAAGCTAAGATGCCGATTCTAAATGATTAGCCCTTAGTCTTTAAATAAAATAATACCAGTTTCATTAAGTCTTTTAGCATTTGACTGAAATATGTGTTTAATATTAATGGTATAATTATAAAGTGCCTTGCCAACTAGCGTGGGCGATCATGTCTCTCCACAACCTGTGATCCAAACAGTTCATGTGCTGACACCACTCCATGCCATGACAAAAAGCTGTCAAGAATCTTCTCTTATTGTCTTCCTTTTCCTTCTCTTTTTCTACAAATCTTTCCAGCTGTCACATGTTCTAGTTTCCCCTCTTCTCATGTCTTCCTTTATCTCTTTTTCTACAAATCTTTCCAGTGGTCACAACATGTTCTAGTTTCCCCTCTTCTCATGTCTTCCTTTATCTCTTTTTCTACAAATCTTTCCAGTGGTCACAACATGTTCTAGTTTCCCCTCTTCTATGTCTTCCTTTATCTCTTTTTCTACAAATCTTTCCAGTGGTCACAACATGTTCTAGTTTCCCCTCTTCTCATGTCTTCCTTTATCTCTTTTTCTACAAATCTTTCCAGTGGTCACAACATGTTCTAGTTTCCCCTCTTCTCATGTCTTCCTTTATCTCTTTTTCTACAAATCTTTCCAGTGGTCACAACATGTTCTAGTTTCCCCTCTTCTCATGTCTTCCTTTATCTCTTTTTCTACAAATCTTTCCAGTGGTCACAACATGTTCTAGTTTCCCCTCTTCTCATAAGATGGCAAAAATGATGACCATCTCCTGATATTTGTGACAAGTTGTCTTCGTGTTCCTGACATCTTTCAAAATATCTCAGTTACTCACTCTGGCGGTTTTATTTCAAGGATTTTATTTCAAGCATTCTCCTGGAAAACCACATTATCCAAGGTATTAAAGGCATAATTATTAAAGCAAAACTGGCTTTTTATATATTAAAAGTATCACCATCAAGTGCCTGCCAACTGGCGTGGGCAATCATGCCTCTCCTCAAGCAGCGATCTCCAACAGTTCTTGTGCTCACATCCGTTCATGCCATAATAAAAGGCTTAATCCTAGATAGAATCTTCTCAAATTGTCTTTCTCTACAAATCTTTCCAGTGGACACAACATGTTTTCCTCTCCCGATAACATGGCTATAATATGATCACCATCTCCTTTTGATGTTTGTTAAAAGTTGTTTTCAGGTTCTCGCCACTGTCAAAACAGTTGGGTTCCTCATTCTGGCTGTCCAGCCGCATTATCAAAGATACTAACAGCATATTTATTCAAGTAGAAACAAATCAACAGGAAACAAAAAAAACTGTGATGATGAAGAAAGACATTGTATGTTAAATACAATTCCTCTTCGACAGTTTTGTCCTCTTTTTTTGGTTGTATTTTTTGGGCATAACTGCCTTGTGCCTGTTCGAAGCACAGATGCTTTATTTGCACCTTTCAGCAGATACATCAGACTTCTGGCATATCTTGACCAGTTTAACTTTCTAAATAAATAAAAAAATATTAAAACAAAAGATCAAATCAAATTAAAACAAAATAAAAACAGCTGTACTTCAATGGCACCTGCCTGAGCTTTAATGAAAAACAAATGTGAATGCCTGAAGCAAAATATGACTGACAAGTGACTCAATGCTAAACATTTTCTAAATCAAGGTAACATTATGAATATCAACAAATCTCAACACAACATATAACCAAATGAATATCACAACTATCCATTAGAGTTACTAATGTGTGAAATATTCAACCTGTAATAAACAATATAAGACTTTAACTGAAAATACTGGAGAGGGAAAATTTAGAGACAAGAAACTATTTCATCATAAGTATGTAATAGCGTTGCAGACCCAAAGATAATTTATTGGAAACTGAGGACACAACAGCAGTTATAGAACTTTACCAACAGTCTTAAGAATGATTAACCTGACAATCAATACAAAACAATGTCTTCCTTTATATATTTAAATAATGCAGATAAAAACAATACCTTTATCTATTAAAAGCCTGGCATATTTCATGGTATCTTGTCAAGTGAATTACTACAGAGCTAAATCAACATATAATGTACAAATAAGACTGCAATGGTAATAACATGGCAAATCTTACCATATGGGTTCTGGGGCCTTAGTGTAGGGAAAACTATAAATCTACTGTCTCCCCATTAAGCATGTCGTAAGAGGGGTTTCCTTTGAAGTCAGAGTGCATCTGCCTGAGAGGCAGGGAATCAACAATCTTTATACAAATAAGTCAGACTTCTGAAACTGATGGACAGGCAACACTCTTGTTTTGGAACAGACCCCAAAGTCCAAAGGTGGAGCAACAACCAGAACATTTCACCAGACTTTACAGCTGGTAAACACGAAGAAGAAGAAGAAATGGCTGATCTTGAATTTCTGGCTGAGATATGTGCAGTGCAAATAGACAATGTGATTTGTGTCTTTCCGTAAAAAAGATTAATTTCTGTGCTTCATTACATGTTGATGCAACTGTCCAGATACACCTGATGAGATACAGCAAAATATACCAGGCAATCAATTGAGCAGTGTATTGTTTGTGCCTGCATCATTCAAATGATGAATACATCTATACATGGCTGCTATTTCCAATTCATATTTAGTCTAAAAATAATTCATTTTCTCGTTAACTCTTTCAGTCCCAAACAATGCATGATTTGTTACATATTCTCCATATGCCTCAAACATCACATCACATGTCTTCCTATACTGTCTGAAACCCATGAGGTTCCCCCCCTCCCCCCAATCATAGGAAAAGAACCGCAGCAGCACCTGAAGATCAGGAAATTGTTAGCCACATTCGCTAACCTCTAATCCACACAGCTGCATCTGGTTAATGTATACTCAAAAAAATCTGGCAACCACAGAGAAATCTTTCATTCATTTTTCATTCCTACAACACAGCAAGTGGTCAGAGTTTTTATGACGATATTTAACTTTAAAGAAAATGATTTTTGTAAAAAAAAAAAAAAAAAAAATCTGGGGCTGAAAGAGTTAATCGGTAAAATATATACTTAGTATATATAACACTAAATATCTAAATACATTTCCTGATCACAGAGACTCTCTGCCTTTGCTGTTCTCTGGAGTAGGAATGTCTTCTGCCAGCGAAAGTTCTCTAACTCGCTTGTCAAAGTATTTAGAAAGTCTATGGCAGGCTTTATACTCAAGGCTGCCTCGGTTGTTGTACTCAACACAGTTATGGAATATCTGCCGCACATCCTCCAGTATCTCAGAAGGTCTTTTGTATGTAAATGCATGTATTCTGTTTCTGATTGTCCCAAAGTCCATGGGATTTGTAATAACATCATAGTAGTCTGGCACCTGTAATAGAATCAAGAAGGCTGTTACCACTTTCTCATTATTTATGTGTATGTGTGATGTCCATCAAGATGATGATGACCACTCTCTTTCATCAAGTATGAGTACGAAGATGACTGATGAGGCCGATGCAGGCTTAAAAAGTACTTGGACAGTGAGGACAGGGAATGAGCGTTGTGCCAGGTAGGGATCTCCTGCAGTCGCCTTTCTGTCCATCCTTTTCTTAATCAGTCTTGCTGTTCTGTAATTTTTTTTTTCTTTCACGTTCATTATTTCTAAGTGAACGATGGCATGGAGGGATATCATCAAGAGAACTGTTCCAGGAAACTACGGATCGTGATCTGTGGAGATGCATAAGTGCCTAGGCCAGTTGGCAGGGCAGATGGCGATGATGATTTATAAGTGCTGATCAACAACATGAATATAGTCTTCCTTATAATAATGGCATCTGGACTTTGGACAATGTGCCGCTGGCTTTGGGAACCAAATCTGCTGTGACTGTAAAGTCCAATATGGGAGTGGCAGTCCCTACCCCATAGGATAATAGTCTTCTTAATATTCATATAAAGTCTGGACACACGGGAAAAACATATTTTCAAGAAAGGAAATTTATTTACAAAAATGTTTTCAATTGGAATGTTAAATATCCTACAGCTGTCATGATTTGCAAAATTCAGACAAATTAGACGTAATAAATCGATACAGCTGTCAATGTTAGCATTTTCAATTATTATGCGGTCAATTAAATGCATTAAATCAATGATTTCTTCTTCTTCTTCTTCGCGTTCACCAGCTGTAAACTCTGGCGAAAGGTTCTGGTTGCTCGTCCACTACTGAACTGCAGTCCTGCTCCAGAAGCTGAGTGTTGCGTGTGCATCAGTTTTACAGATCTCATTCTCTTAAATACAGACTGTTGGTTCCTTGCCTCTCCGGCAGATGCACTCCGACTTCAAAGGAAGCTCCCCAATTAGTCGACTCTTACGACATGCTTTTGGGGAGGCAGTGGGTCTATTCTTGTATTCCCCACAATGGGGCCCCGGAACCCACACGGGGGAAATCAATGATTTAAACTGAGCATAGCTTCTACTTCAGCATACCCAAGAAAGGGTCAAGGGGGTAGATGAGACCAATTCACCTGACCACATCTTCCACACTAGTTGGTGAGATTATAGCTATTTTTAAAAAATGATTTTAAATGTTTTTAACATAAAGAAGATTAACTTCACTGCACCAGGTTTGATCCCATATGGATTGATCTCTTTCAGCAGAGTGACTTTATACAAAGTACAACCTCCATAGCTCCAGTAATAACTCTCAAGGGTCTCCTAAACAGAAACCCACCACCCTCCGTGCATGAGACAAATGGCTTTACCATTTTGATCTGCATTTAATGCTTCGCTCACTGACAAGAAACAACAAAAACCTTACGTGCGAGTAGTTTTCTCGAAATCAAAGATTAGCTTTCACTACCAGAGGACGGTGAAATTAGTTATAACACATGTTGTGTGCTCCTCGGTACCAGCAGAGTTAATACTCTCTCTCTTCTCCTTCTTATTAAGATAAACTGGGAATAGTTAAGTACAAGTATCTTTCTCACTGACTCGCAACTCTTCATATAACAAACAGCACAAATACAAAAAATGTTTCTAGCATTGTGCACCCAATGTGTCCATTTGTGTAAAAGGTAGTTTATTTAATTACTGATTGACTGACTGCCTTTCTGAGCATGCTTTATGTGGCTGAACCCCATGCTCAGAGGCAGATTAAAAAAAAAAAAACAAGAGAGTCTACATAAGCATCATGTTGGATTCAATCTGTGCTGCGTGATCTAACAAATGTTTCTAGCATTACGTACACGATATGTCACTGGTGTAAAAGGTCCTTTACTTACTGATTTACTGACTACCTACTGACTGACTTACTATCTTACTGATTTACCGACTCACTCACTAACTCTTTACTGACTGACTAGCATAACAAGCATGTGTTAGCCAGTCTCGTGCCAACCGTCCTCTGTCACACCCCACAATATGCATGCTACATCAAAAAGATACCATTCTTTGCTTCCATAATTAGTACATGCAGCACACTGGTGATCTCGACATGTGAACATTTTAAAACAGCCTTCGTGGAAATTAACCATGGAACCCAGTGGAGACAATTCATTAACTGTCTCTCCCCAAGAAGCAAAAGTGACACTTCTGGTTGGGTCAGATTTTAACAAATTTATTACTGACCCCTACAAAAATGTTTTTTTTTTTTTTTTTTTAAAAGAATTTTTCCCACAGGGTCTATTTTTATCGTTACCAGGGCCACAGGGCATCCATAGCTCCATTTATCCACTCATCACAGCAATACAGCTTTCATAAAATGCATGAGAGGCTTACCAGCTTCTTGTCCACTGGTTTCAGGAATGGCCAGGCATCCTGGTGTTTAATCAGCTCATTGACGAGATCTTGTGTTGTTCTCAGCTGTTGCTGTTGACTGTTGGCTCTCTTGGAGCTGGGCATTAAGGGCTTCATCATGCGGATGATTGGATCATCATCTGAGGTCAAATCAACAGCATTAGTACAGCCAGGTCAAGACGCCCGTAAAACAGTCTATGAAGACCTTCTTCTTAGTGTTCACCGGCTGTCAAGTTCTGGTTGTTCCTCCACTTCTGGACTCTGGTGTTCCAGATCCCGAGTTGCGTGTGCCCGACCATTTTTTACGGAGCTGACTTATTTGTATGCAGAATGTTAACTCCTCATGATTTAGGGAGACCCACTCCCTTTTTTCCATGCTCCTAGGCGTACAGTGCTAGTCACCTATATGTTATAGACACAACAGCACTTGTGGGTGATGGGGTCAACACCCACGCTGACCTCCTTTACTTCCCAGGACTTTTCCTGGTAGCATTTTTAGGCTGGGCCAACCTGGGAGCAAAGATAAATTTTTTTTTTAAATTCAGTTCAATGCAGATTTGAACCCACCAACTTCAACCCTACAGGCCAATGTCAGTCGCTACACTATATTACTGCTAAGATCAACAATTGTAGAATAGAAATAACAGGGCCAACTATTATGATAAAAATGTTACAGTGAATATAATGTTAAGCATGCAAATATACTAATATGAAACTCTTTTGTAATTACCCTCCATTGAATTGGAATCAAGAGAGAGTTTGGGGCGTGGCTTCCCTTTCTTAACTTTGGATATGGCTATACTGTTCACTTCAGCTGAGGCCGACAAGTGTTGTTTCTTAGGCCTTCCTAGGATCGGACTGTCTTGTGGGCTTTCTCTCCTTGATCCTGTCCGACTATTTGTTGGAGTGGATTTGGCACTGCCAGTTGATTTCCTCTCTTTGCCTATATGGACAGAAAACAGAACACATAAAGTAAACAATATACACATTTTTTTTTAAAGTGCCACTCTTGAGGTACCAAAATAGCATAGCAACATGCACACACACAATTATTTATTGGCAATTATGAACCTCTTTAACTACAGTGAAAAGGTGAAAAATGCAATGGACATGTACTGCAGGGCTCAGTAGAAGGAAAGAGGAGATAAGGCAGACCAAGAAAGACCAGGTTACAGAACCTGACCGACTGGACAGGCCTCAGGCATGCAACCATGAAGTCCATCACAACTGACCGCCAAAGGTGGAGAGAGCTGATCAGACAGTCAACAGAAACTGGTGACTCAATGACACATAGTATTACGTGATGATGGTGATGACATGCACAAAAAACAGCTAATAAATGTTTGCCAACTTTGTGCAATCAGTGCCAGACACAGAGTCTTTGAAAAACATAAATGCAAAATCTCAACATGTCAGATGAATAGTATAAGAAATGTTGCGGAGGAAAATAAGAGACAGTCACTAATGGCTGTTTTAAGATCAATGGTAGCCCGCCTTGCTAGTGTAGTTGGTTAAACCTGACTTCGCTGCGACGAAAACGTGATGGTGCGGGTTCACGCCCGGGGGTAGGTAGAAAAGCCAGATTTCTCCCAGATTTACAGTATCTATCATGGAATCAAGGCCGAAGGGTGGCGATATCCATAGTACTGAGCCAAAGGGTTGACAACTCATGGTTTCTGGATACTTTAAAAAAAAAAAAAAGAACAATGGTAGGCTTATTACCAGTAAACGATTTCACAGAACATCAAAGACTCAAACAGTTTGGTCATAATGTGCTGTGATATGTCCGGAGCACTGTGAAGATAATCCAACTCATAACTCATATAAGACTGGCCAAGAAACAGATGCGTGGATGGTGTAAAAGAGATACTAAAGAAACACAATATGACAATGTCACAAGCTAAGCAACTATCAAGAGAAAGAAACTTCAAGTAACTCTTCTCTGCCATGCTTTACAGCAAAAGCAGCAGGACAAAACAAAAACCTGTATGGGAACAGAAACAAATGGAAAATAGCTTCCTTTCTCTAAACCGCAAAACTATATATATAAGTGTGTAATTTCACATAAATTTACATATTTTTGTGGTTGATGCGGATAAAGTGTAAAGGTAATAAATCATATGACAGACCTGGCCATAAAAGATTTGAAATGAGAGGTTTTCAAATATGGCTATAAATACAAGCCTGTAACTAAACATATGAATATCAATATTTGCTAACTCTTAAAAAATTTTTTAAAAAATCAGATTAAGCTTTTCTGGTACCTTTTCCTTTTTCTGTATCTTTTGACTTGGCCTTAGATTTCCCATTTTTGTTATTGCCTCCAATTTTGATCCTCCCAGCTCTGTCAATGCCCATGCAATCTTCCTCTTCCGAAGCTTCAGTTTCAAAAGTCCGTTGATCTATACTATCATCAATCTGGTCATCATCTTCCCTGAAAGAAAAATGGAATTCAAACATGAGGACATGTGACAAAATGCAAGAAATGCAACCAAACCTAGCCAGATATTTTTGGTTGGGTGGTGAATCTTCTGAAAGAGTGAGTTAGTACTTTCAAGTCAGAAACATTAATACTGAATCCAGACTTGGTGCACTTGCTGAATCAACATGGAGGGTTGAAAGAAGAGAAAGACAGTAATGTTTTGGGCCAGAAATGATTTATGTCAAACTGGCTAAAATGGCTATGCATGTATAAAGATAATCTTAGATGACCAGAAGAGCTAACCTCTACAGCGGTATATATGGTTGTCAAAACATCCCTTGCTTCTTCTTCTTCTTCTTCAATCCTTCTGTCAGAAAATGTGTTGTACCAGGAGGCTGGTAGCCTTTTTGACAACTATCAGTAGTCAATATCTCCCCATGTACTATAAAAAGCTTTGTCTTCACTGAGGCTGGAAAAGACTGCTTCTCATACAGCATACAGCTGACAGTGTTGGAGCATATGCTCAGAATTTTCTGGTGCAAAGTTGCAGGGACACAAGTCTCTGTGTTTCCTACACTGAAAAGTGTGAACGTATGTTAGCAAAGTGTGTTGTGTCTGAACATAACATATTGTCCTTCTCTAGAAAGGCGATGAAGTGAGTCTGGAGGAGGAAATATGATGTGTGAATCTAGACACTTTTCTTGAATACTGGCTTGTATTAACGTCTTAGTCTCTTGGTAGTTTCCGTCACAATCACCATGTCACTGCCACTTCCTGCCAATATGTCCACTATTTAACTGCCTTCGAAGCCAGTGACCTGGAATCAACTGCAGTACAGACTGTTTCATGGCTCAGCATTTCCACTCTGAAATCTGTGCATTTCTTCACCATTCCTCTAAACATGTATGTTTAGGTTCATTAACTGTTGTCTGTGTCAAATGGGGTTAGAATCACTAATGCTTGGTTTAGGGGGAAACTAAACAAATTCTGGCAAATCAAGACGTGAGGGAAAGATGCCGGCCCAGGATAGAAAACAAACTGACCAACGTCAATTCGTATAAAGAGAATAAGAAGCGGAGATAAATAATATGAGAAGCACATGGAGTAGTGGCGAGGCGTGCATGTAACGGCTGTAAACACCGCTGACACTTTCCACTGCCAAAGAACAATAATTTTACTGTTTATTATTACTGTTTACTACAAATAAGTCACTCAGTTTACGCCTCAAGTGTAGCCAAAAGAATCCTCACTGCATGCTTACGCCACTGATTCTAAAAGTGTAATGTGTGACAGCTACCAGTTACTAATACTACAATGCTAGCCATGAACGCGTATTCTTAGTGAAATGATGAAGGAAAAAAAAAAACACGTTACCCTCTCCGCTGTAATCACAACATGCTAACGCCTACATATGCGAACTGAACATGCCTTGCCACTGGTACTGAAGGAGCAGCAGGAGACAACAAAAGATACAAAGACTTGGTGTGAGTCGTCAGAGGGCCTGTGTTCCATCAAGAGACAAACAGAAGAAATATGCTTACACTTCTTCATCCTGTTCAGCTTCTTGTGTCTCCTCTTCCTCCTCCTCTGTAAATGTCTTTCTCCATCCCTTCCTGACAGGACTTCTGGGTGCTTGTTTTGGACGGCATTCAGAGCAGAACCAGTCACCAGATGGAATTTTCTGCAGGGATAATAATGGAACACTCTGTAATTTGTACTCATTCTTATCATACAAGGAAAAGTGTGAAGGACATATCTCTCACATTATCAGAAGAGCTGTGATAGCGAAGCAGCTAGAGACTCACCTTCCACCCTGTAGCTTGTTGGTACTGGGTTTGAACTGACACCGAGTTTTATATATGTATATATATTAAAAAGACCTTGGCTCCCAGGTTGACCCAGCGTTTAATATGTACCAGATAAAGTTCTGAGAAGTAAAGGTGGCTGCCGTGATGCTGACGATATAACAATCAAGGGCTGACTGGTCTATATAAATATGAATCTAGCATCAGTTGCCTTATGCTCCACTGGCAGGAAGATGGTCCTTTAATTTTTTTTTTTTTTTTTTAACTTTATTTATATCATCGAAAATAATTACTGAAGCAATCACCAGATGGAGCCTTCTTTTGGTGAATGTTGAATTAAGAGTTCCCTTCTTCAGCAGCAAGCGAAGAGCTCCAATTCTGACGGTGCCAGTAACTGTCTGAGTGTATATTCGTTGCGCCTTTCCCTTGAGCGTTGAGCATCGGCCAGATCCTCTGGTAACTCCTCGCAGCGCCATTCTCCTCAGACCATTATGATTGATCTGTGCCTCTCCACTGTTCACTCGCTCCCAGGTGGCCCTCACAACATCTAGCTTGTCATAATCAATTCACCACCAAGTGGTGTAGAACCGACCAGTCTTTCTGCCTGCTTATTTCCCAACACACCAGCATGACCTGGAGAAAATATCCAAAGGGTGCTAACTACCGGGGATTTACACTCACACAAAATGCTGAAAGAAACAGAAGGTAAAAACAGTACAACCCTTTGTATAACTAAGTAAACCAACCACTCCACCACTCACAGAAACCTTACTGAAGTGTAATTATATTCATGCTATAAAATGAGAATGTTGAAAAAGAAGTTGTGCTACTCCCTGTTTTGGATAAGACATCTAACCTTCTCAGATAATGGCCAAAAATGTGGTGGATATGTTGCAAATGTAGCAAACTTTAAAACAATGTGCTGACAGATGAAAATCTAAAAGAACAGGCCAGTTCAACCACTGCCAAGGTACAATTTCAAAAATATGAAAAGCTACCCACAAATATAGAATATGTATGGCCAGGAAGGCTAACCTGGTCAACAAATGTCTGCAGAAGTCGCAAATGGGCACAACACCACTACCTCTTCGGATGAACGCAGAAGCGGAAGAAGAATATTTATGGCGTGTCGTCCTATACACACACAGGTAGGTCCTAGTTAATGCAACAGGGTTTGTGCACTATGTTTTTCCTTGTGGGTGATCTACAGGAGGAGAAGATCAATTTTAGAAATATCCTTGCGCAATAAAAAAAAAAATAGTTGGGGTGTGTGCGACTACTGACCGGGATGCAGAGGTACCGACCTCAAGTGGTTCTGCACCAGGATCATGTTCAAAGTAGACAGGATCACCTTTTCCTTCCAAGTCGGAGTGCATCTGCCTGAGAGGCGAGCAACTAATAATTTAGAAAAGTAAAATGGATATGCAAGCAGAACTCAAGTCCTGGAACAAGTTTAAAGTGCAGAAGTGAACAAACAAGCAGAACCTTCTGCTGCAGTTTAAAGCCAGTGAATGCGTAAGGCAAAGGCTACCTACCTCTACCGGTGGTTTCAAGCAGTACATGTGGTGACCTCTGTCACAGCCATCACAAAGGAGCATCTTATCAGGGTCACCCTTACGCCGACACAGTCTACACCTTGTCTCCAGTGCAGACTTTGCCCAGATGATGCTCTTGTCTAAGGTAGCCAGATGAAGATAGACCTGAGACAGACTGGTGGAGGACAACAATGATTCCTCCCATCGCTCATACAGTGTCTGTGTTTTCCTGGGCCCAGTGCTTTCTTCTGCTGACAAAAAGACAACAATAAAAGTCAATGAACCAGCAATCAAGCAAACACAGCCCATACCCTAATCTACAATTAAAACTAGCAACACGAGCGAAAACTACTGACCACAGGAGACATGCAAAGAATAAATTTAACCTATTCACTTAACTTACCATAAATAGGAATATTTCTTAAACCAAGACATGACAAAATAAGGATAATGCCCTTAGATGCTGAGAAAAGATAACAAACCGAACAAAGTAGAAGCAGTCAGTTTCACTATATCACAAGAGAGCCTTTATCAGCAAATTATATCAATCTACAACACCACAAGTATGAACTAGAAAATACATTATCACTTAACTCTTTGAGTCCCAATGAACGCATCATACGTCCATAGGTTCTTACTTAGAAGCCCAATGAACGCACGATGCGCCAAATTTATTACTTTCTTTACTACCCCCTGGGCCTGTGATGCTAAACCCTCTGGGACTTAAAGAGTTAAGTGACTTTCTTCCTACACAAATCACTTTTCTGGCCAGCAGAACATCTAACATGTGTGCGGCCACGAGAAATAAATACCCAAAAAATTTGTAATCAGCAGTGACTGCAACAGTCCTTCATGTCATGATAAACAAGTTTTGCTGCAGTCGCATCAAACCTGTAGCTCAGTAATGTGATTTCCACAAGCATTGTTTCTAGGTTAGCTTCCCCTAGCCTTTGTTTCAGAACTAGCTATAAGGCCACAGGTTTATGTCTCTCTTTAGTTTCCATCCTTAGACTTGTTGGATATGGGAGACTCTACCAGTAACTAGGTACTTAGGGCAGGGCAATTCAACTAGTGGCCCACGGCCCGAATCCTGCCGGCAGAGGCCTAGCAAGTGGTCCGCGGATCATTGCCAGTTGCACTATATTACACACACAAGTCTGTGTGAGAAGTTTGTTAAAGGATTGTTTACCATTTTTGGTTTTAGATTTAGACGATGGATCAACATCATGGCACAAGGGTAGTAACCCATAAGTGCTCCGTTCCACTTTTGAGATAAATAAGACTGAAATTTCATGATTTTGTTTTCCATTTTTACGTCAGAATTGAATAAGACTTTGAAATTTAAGGATTATGATACAATTTTTTTTTTAATTTCAGATAAATGGGACTTTGAAATTTCAGGATTATGGTGGTGCCACGGCTAGTGTACATGCTTATGAACATAGCAATCCATGGTTCAATCCTCAGCAAAGATCAAATTTCTTTTGAAGTAGTGCAGAGATACTGGGGTTGGTCTGGCCTGGCCTCATAAAACAGGACTGAAACCTAATCTGGAAAATTTAAACCGGCTATCCCACAATCCTGTTGTCCAATTTAATCATTACAACATGTCTTAGTGTCATGAAAGTGGGTGCATTGTGAAGAAAAATAACTAAATATTTTACAGATGACAATCGACAAATAAGTTTGATTTCTGCGAGTGTTTAATACTACACCCAGAATAGAGAAAATTTTTCATAAGAGAAATCCAAAAAGACAAAAGGAAAGAAACGACTAATGTTAATATTTACCATCAGAATGTTCGTCGTCTTCCTTTTTCTTTTTGTCTTTAGAAGATGGTGTAGATTTCTTTTTCTTTCCGTCATCCTCCTCTGTAAGGATAAAAAAAAGGTTTCCAAGCATACGTGTATTTCTTAAGCAGAGACAAAGATAAATATAAAATGTGAAATAATAGCATCAACTGGCAACAACAACAAAAGAGTCAAACGTTCTGTAATGTGGCGAAGCCTGACTGCCTACACATGGATTCCTTGTGACGTATTAGTTGTTCCATAACCCATCTACTGCAATTGTGACTATAACTGCAGCTCTATAGTTTTATTTTAAATAAGCAGACCCATCTTCTTTACTTTATTTGTTCCCGCTTCAGGGCGTCGAGAGAGATATAAGGTTCTGCCTCTTGCTCTTCTGGCGACCTCAACCATAGACACATTGTGTTGTTGTAGAGTTAATTTGATGTTATCTCTAAATCTTGTTCTTGATCTACCCCATGCTCTAAATCCTTCTCCTCTTTTGGTGTATGCCCTGTATGGTGTGGCATAACAAGTGGGCAAACCATTTGATTTGCTGTCTCTGTAGGCAATTCAGAAATGGTTTTGTGATTCTTATTTTCGTTCATCCAAGTGATGTAACTGCGGTGTGCCTGTTTACAGAACAGCTGCGATATTTGCACCTTAGGGCCAATACATCAGACTTCATCAAGCATTTGCTGGCCGGGATAACTTCCCAGATAATTTTGTGTAACACGAAGTAGAAATGTGTGGTGTTCTTTTTCGCCCCCTTATCTACAGGTGTTGCCTCTGAAAAACTCATCCACGGCAACCGCATGTAGACTGGTCGGCACTTAAGGGAAGGCGCAGGTATTCCTTGCCATCTTAGAAGGCTTCCATAAATGCAGAACCGACACATGACGCTCTGGTCTTGGGCTCACCCAAGGAATCATCACATCCTGCACATGACTGCTTTACTTCATCCGTACGTTCAGCTTCCCACTCATCATACGTTACTTTCCCAATCATCACTGGCTGTACCCTCCGGAGATCAGCAGGGAGCAGCCTGCAAGTCCGGGGCGTTGGTGACCACAAAAATTGTTACACTTTTCTTCAGCAGGTTAGACGCCTTTTAGGCTGTTTTATCTGGACACCTGATACGACAGTATGGAAAAAATCATGCATCAGGCATGACTTCCCCTGTTTAGTCCCTGTTACTCTGGCGAGTGGGACCATTGGTAACAGACATTTGAACCTTTCTGCCAAAAAGTAGGACTTTTGACGGTTGGACATTTAAGACTTTGCTGTTATGCCGCAGAACATGTATCTGACAGACATTTAAGCCTAATCAGCAGACTGATAGTGGCAGATTGTTGTAGTGACGACGACGCTGAGGATCGACAAAAGGATGTATGGGGACAGGACTGTATCGCAAGATATCGCTCTTGTCTAGGGCTGCTTCTCAGCAGCTCTTTCACTAGATAGCCATTTTAACTAAGGGTGGTCATTTAATTACATTTTCGGCCAGCACACTTTACCCATGTACTAAATGAGTTTTGACAGAAATTTTCATCCACACACTGGAGGTGGGCTGATGAAGAGCCAGAGCATTTCTGAACACTGCATCTCTGGGGGCCACCAACTCCGAGATCCCTTGCCAGCACAGTAAAAGCCTATTTAAGCATTATCTGCGGCGCATGATGGTAAAGTGCGGCAGGAGTTTGGTATGAGGATCCTTAAAACTAGCATAGAGTCAGCTGTAGCCTGAGGTGGTAACTCCTTTTCCACATCACAACTGCCTTAACTTTCTCTCACACTTGTGACAAAAATCACAGCGCCACTTTTCCCAATATGACTTTATTACTGATTTGATCTCTTCTGGTAAATTCTGCAGCTATTATCAGACATCTCATTTCCGTGGTTACTAATTTCTTTTTTTTTTTAATGGTCTGTTGTGAGTGACCATGTCTGGCACTGATAGCACAGAGTGGTAATGAATATGCTTTATACGAGATGTTTCTTTGTACTGATTGGCATTGGCTCATGCTGTAAGAGGGGGCTAGTTGTCTAAATACCCCCCCCCCCCCCCCGGGCACTACATTAATTAAACTAACAATTTCTTAGAATAAAGAAAGAATTAAACTAACATCTGCTTGGCACTGGAAGAGTTTACAATTAAAACTGATGCAACTTACTCAGTGGTTCTTTCATATACCTAGGCTCGACACCTCTGGCTATCTGAACTAGAGCCCTGGCTAAATCCCTGGCCACCGACTGTGAATCTGACATTTCTGAAGACGTCTCATCCTCGCTGTGAAATACAGATTGTGTACAGAGTGGTCAAAAGAACATGAATTATATTACTGCCTGTGTTAGGACAGGGAAGCAATTTGATTGTTAAGAGGTACAATTTGATTGTTCAGGTGTTGGGGCATTTTGATTGTTAAGGTGTTGGGGCATTTTGATTGTCAAGGTGTTGGGGGCATTTTGATTAAGGTGTTGGGGCAAATCGAAAATGGACATATCCAGAGTTTAAATTACATTGGGGCACAAGAATTTTAGAAAGGCTTAGGTGGGGTAAAAAAAAAAAAGGCTGGGAAAGGCCGATCTAAGGCCTCAAAGCCAGTGCAGTCACCATGAACTTAGAATGTTTATTATTGCAACGGAAAGAAAAAAACCAACCATCTAACTGGGGATTTGAACCCTGGATCTCTAGCCACTTGGCCAGCCGCTCCTCAAATTAGGTATCAAACTTAGAAGGAGAAAAATGTAAAATATAAATATCATAATCATCTTACATTCACCTGTCTGCCAGGAAAGTGGTTTGGGTTCAAACTGGCAATGCGTCTTCTCCTTCACTTTCTCTTTTACCGCTTCGGATGTTGAAGGAGAAGTTTCTGGCTTCTTGCTCTTCTGGCCAACTCAACCATAAACATATCTTGCTGTTGTATGTAGAGTTTTTCTGATGTTATCTTGATCTCCCTTTTGCTTTACATCCTCGTTTGTGTGTATGCCTTCCATGGTAGGGCATCACAAGGCATCTCTCTAAATGTGCAAATAATTTGATTTGCTGTCTTTTTATGTAATTTAGGATTGGTTCTGTGCAACCTTTTATGACCTCACTTCTGATCTGATCTCTTCTGGTAACTCCTGCAGGCAGCGGTCAAACCAGTCAAATGAAAAATGAGCATCAGATAATGGCCAAAATGTTCAGAGAAATATCTAGGAAAGAAAGGTAACAAATAAGAGGCAAAACCACCTCATATATCACGGCTTAGAATGTGTGAAGCATTAACACCATATACTGCAACAGCATGAATTGCTGTGGTACTACATTAAATTTTTCTTATTATCTTACAACGATGAGGCCTATTATGCTTATCCACATCTTGCAAGATATTTTTTTTTTAGCATTCAACGGCTGTAAATTCAGGCAGAAAGTTGTGGTTGTTTGTCCACTTCTGGACTTTAGTCTTGATCCAGAACTTTGGCAGCACTTATTTTTAGTGGCCATAATAAAATAATATCAAATATAAGAATTTTTATAGAACTTACAATGAAAAGGGTTAACTGATGCCTAAATATTTTCTTTATTTTAGAAAATCGGACACACTTGTCCTCAATGTAAACAAAGTTTACCACAGCTTACTCAGTGTAAAACATGATTTATCAAAGGCAAGCAAAGTTTATGTTAAGAACACACTAAACATAAAGCTTAAAAACACCAAGTACCTACCCATTATACTGGGGTTTCACTGAGGAACTAAAAATGGGGTTATCACTCTGTGAATTATAGCTGCGTTGTAATATGGCTTCTCTCCAAAGCGTTCTGTTTTTAACCTGTGATAAACAAAAAAAAACAAATAATATTCTCAGCAGACTGGGGGAAAGCGGGAGAACTATATTTTATTCAATAAAACAGCCACTGTTAACTATTATGTGCCATGTCTCCAAACCTTTTTTCCCTTAAAGGTTGAAGTCAAGAGGACTGACTTCATTGCACCAGTGTTTTATCTCATATGGCTTCTACTCTCTCCGCAAAACAGCCAGCCGCTTGCTGAGAAAAAGAATATCACATGCAGCACAAATTGTGTAGTTATGGCAACGATTCCAAGGGATCTTTGCAAATATTGCACTCGTGAATTGAACAGCACAGCCGTGAAACAAACCCACGACCTTCAGAGCGTGAGGCAAACATTAACTGTCTGAGAGGTAAGGAACTAAAAGTCTGCACACAAATAAGACAGAGCTGTGAAACGTATGTGCACGCAGCATTCAGGTTCTGTACCAAGACTTAAGTCTAGAGGCATACAAATAACCAGAACTGTCATCCGGAGTTTACAGCCGGTGAATGCAAAGAAGAAAAAAATAAAAGTCTACGATATGGGCTGAAGAGAAATTGTTACACAAAAACAGACTTGATCACAAATATACCTTGGCTCACAATCTGTATTAGCAATAAATGAGACTGTTCAATGGAAATTAGAAATATAAATTAAAGCATACCAGGAAGTGGGCATAAAATAGTTAACAAACATCTTTAACCAGGCAAGGGCAACGCAAGAAAGGAAGGTATTAGAAGACTGGCAAAGATCTGTGAATGTCAGAATATGGGGGGGGGGGGGGGGGGGGGGAAGCAAAAAGAGAAAGTAGCCAATACAGACGCATATCTCTTCTTAGCCATAATGGAAAACTACACAAGAACTTTAAAATATTAAATACGGCAGAACACACATTCATTGGGCAAGCATACATGAAATATGTCTTTCACAAACCTTAACTGAGCCAAGGCCTCCTATATGTATCCTGTCTTCCATATCCAAGATGGCATCTCGGAGATTAAGTTCCATGGTTATCTCAGCCTTCTCAACAATGAGGGCATCCTGAGCTGCCTTCTTGCTGGATATTCCTCTTGTCATGGCAAGTGCCTGAAAACGTATGCATAGATATATAGATTTTGCAAAATGCTAACATATTTTTATATATGCTTCTGATGTTACCAAATAATAATAAATACTAGAGAAGTACTAACAATTTAATGGTATATATAAGTGGAGTATTACAATGTTACTTATCTATATCAGTAGGGTAGTGAAATGTAACTATATCCATGACTGAGGTATCTGAATGTTACTAATATACTCCAATGAGGCATTACATGTTACTAATATATACAGGGATGTACCCAGTGTTGGATTCACACACAAGCTAACTAATGCTACAGCTTAAGGTATCGCAATCTGCAGGCAACTAAAAAAAAAAAAAACTTTTTTCCAAGATGCAATTTTTTTTAACATATTTTTTTTTTTTAAATTGCAAGAAATTACCCAATTTTATTAATATTATTTTGGATATATAATCTCAGACTTTTACTGATTCTAACCAGCATGATATACGTCATCTTCCACATTTTTTAATATACACACACATATATATATTTAAAGTTTTTTGAGATTAAATCAAGTAATCTAAACTGAGATTTTTTTTACATTTGTTGGAGGGTTTCTCAAGGTTCCTAGTAATATTTTTAACACAAAAATATGTTTATGTTCTTAGCATACACGTGTGTGTTATAACTACTTTTACTTAGTAGAACCTTAACTTTGGTCGAGGTTTCAACTTATCTGCAGTCAGGTCACCCCATACTTGCTTCATACCTGTGCCAGTGAAAATTAAATGAAATGTCCCTCGCTGCCTTATTTCAAAATCTGGTGAACAATTGGTCAACTCACAATCTAGAAATACGCACAAGCAATAAATGAAAAAGGCAGTTGGTAGAGGTGCCAAAGCCAACAGTCCCCACCAGAAATGTTGTTTATCGTTGATGTAAGTAGTTGGTCACAACAAGCTGGCTAGACATACCTAAAATTATTACATAAGGTATTTCTCCAGCCTATCCCTTTACAGTGCTGCACCAAGCACTTAACTTAGTAGCTTAGGCAGCAGAACTGTAGACTTCCATCCATATACGGGTACTGCATTAGCAAAGTGCTGTCGGAAGCAAACATTACTTCGCAGCGAAACATTCTGCCATGCTAGTACTCCATATTAAGACTCAATAATACAAACTCGCTTAAGAAAAACAGTTGGTTAACATTAATATAATTTTAGTCACCAAAGGGAGGTATTTATTTGTTACCAGCTACCATGATTTATGCAAACTTAATATTTTTTTCCAAGTCTTATGGAATTCATGTTAACGAGGTTTTACTGCAGTTATGAAAAGTAACATACCTGAATCCTAGCTTCCTCCGCCTTTTCCTCAGGCATGCTGAGTATGTCTGTTGGACACTCCTTCAAAGAATGTTCCAAAAGAGGTTTTAACTCCATCAAAGCAGTCCTCAGCGAACACTCTCTGAAACCTCTGGTGTTGAGCGAATTTATCAAGACATCCAAGTGCTCTGGCGTGTCGATGAATGACCAGGTTGGATTCTGGGAAAGTTTTTGTTGGTCCGGTAATGAATCTTCACTCTCTAGAACAGGAGGAGTGTCACGTCTCTCATCATTGACATCCATCTTTTCATCCACTTCCTCTTTCAGTTTTACATTCTTATTTTTGCCGCTCGCTCCATTTTCCTCATCACTGATAACAATACAGTCATCCCCGTTGGATTTTTTGCGCTTTACTTTCTGCTCTCCTTGAAAAGTCAGTTCAGGAAGCAACTTTAACTGAAATTAAGAAACAGAAAAATGTAATCTGCCTGCTGTATATGAGGTGTTTCTCATTCTATTATTGTAATAATTCCAAAAGAAAATTAACATTTTTACTCATTCATATTTTCAGGTTGAAAAAAAAAGGTAAATGAAGAAATGAAAAACAACCAGCACTTTAATACACACTGATAATAACATGTAATGTAAAAGTAAATTTTCTATATTATGTATGTGTTGTAGGCAAAATACAGCATTTGCATCCAGTTGATTATGCTACATATACAGTATGCCAGTCGAGACATGTAATGTGTACGGCTGTCTAGGTTATATGATGTTTGTAGTACAACAATAAACAGGTCCACAAATTAACCTTGAAATGCCTCAGCCTCTGACTCGCAACATTAACTGAATGTAAAATATCATTAAAATGACTTAACTTCTTTAGCAGTGCAAATAAATAAATAAATTTAAAAAATCCTGTACTGATGAAGAGTGTTTTTATTATCAATGTAGGCCGTTTTAAACACGAAACAAAGTGACCTTGGCAACATTCTGGATCACTGGAAAGAACACATAATTAATTCTCCTAAGCCACAATAACGTCGAGTTTGAAGATAACTACGGATTGTCTTTAAAATTGTAGCTTGACGATAACCAGCACCAGGCTGAAGTACCATAGATGATTTACTGTGTTTTTTTTTTCATGTGTGGTACTGGATGTTAACAGCATTGCATAAAAAGCATCCTACCTTGGGCAAAATGACCCACAATCTTCATGAACAACCTTCTGGGTCTGTCGCTTCAAATCAACTGTTTTGTTGTTAACCAATAAAACTACACAAATGTATCATCGCTTATATTTGTGACATTCTAGTGACCGCAACGATTAACAGTGCTGTCTCGTTGATGTTGCACTCAACAGTAGGCTAACCTTATAGTAAACTAATATGAAAGCTGAGCACACACACAATAAACATATGAGGATGAGATGAAGCAGAGATATGAGAGAGAGACTGGGGCAGGGGACGGTGTCGCAAACTAATATAACAGACACAAAGCCAGGCAGACAGACTACAGCAGAGCTATTCAACTGGCAGTCAGATCTGCCTGTGGAGGCCTAGGAAATCACTACCAGCTGTACTACATTAATGATCTTTCTATTCTAGGGCTCAGGCCTGTGTCCTGTGACAATTCGCATGTACAAAATGCTAGTCCTGGAGTGAACTTCACTGAACAGTCCTGGACTACAGGTAACAATCAAAGAGAAAAACTGTTAGTACTCACTTTAGTTCCAGCGCCAGCCGTATCAACTCCAGGCTTCAACATGTCAGCAGGGACATGCAGCTCATGGTCCTCTATGAACAACCCAGGCAGGGCTGAGAAAAAATAGTACCTCCTGAACAAACGGTCTCTTCCCAGTGGGTATACTGAAACCATCCTCTGCAGGGACATGATTTCATCAAGCACTTCGCATTCCTTTTTGGAAAATTCAGCTTTCTTGCGCGCCTCCATATCATGCTCTTTTTGCCTCTCAGCATCCTTTTCTGCCTGACTTTTCTCCAGGTCAGTGAAGTCGCCCGGTAACCTGAAAAATATGTTATCTGTTAATGCACAAGTCTTGCAGACACTGCAACAGACATTTTTTTAAAACTGCTATTTGAAACAAGTACGAAGGTATGATTTTATTTAGAAATTTCCCTGTGAAAGTAAGAGATAAGTAAATATGGCACATTAGACATTATCTTTCGAGACTTATCCTTGTATATAGGGCCCCACACTGGCCAAAACGTCATACTGTCTATGGCTGTCCGCTGTGTGGGTTCCGGGGTCCAGTTGTGAGGAAAGAAAAAAAGACCCACTGCCTTGAACAAGCATGTTGTCAAAGTCAACTAATTAGGGGCGTTTCCTTCAAAGTCGCAGTGCATCGGCCTGAGAGACGCGGTATCAACAGTTCGCATACCAGATGTTTTTTTTATTAAAATTTTTTTTTTTTTTTAATTAAAAAGAAAAAACAGGTGTCCAGAATAAGACCAAGGTCCAGAAGTTGGTGACTAACCAGAACTTTCCACTTTAGCTTAGTGCCAACGTTACAAACAAAAAGTAGTTATTCTAAAATATGTATACACAAATATATACTTAATTGTGAAATTGTTATGTTTTTAACTGTCTTACAAATTTTCGTCTGCCATCATTTGTTGCATTCTCCGTGCTTGTTCTTTTGCTTTCTCTTCCATATTTTTCTTGTACCTGCAGAAATATCCAATTTACTTGAGTGTTAAACAATAATAATTAGCATATTTGAAGTTAAATGCTTTTTCTCAACATGTTCAAATAAAAATTGTACTAGATGGATATACATTCTTTACGAAACCAGAAAGGAACAATAACAGATCCCTGAGGAATCAACTTAAATAATGACAGTATAAACAGACAAATTTCCTAAAGAGTCAACGAAAATGATGACAAGATAATCATCATGCAGTTGTTACCTTTAATTATTGAGGTAATAAAACTGATAGTCAAGAAAACAGAAAGAAAGAAATTATGACAAGCACTGGCAAGGCATCAGCAGCTTTTAAAAGCCTGAACAAAATATGGAACTCTAAATTATGTAGTTTTAGAACCAAGTTACGTATTTTCAATTCTTATGTTATTCCAGTTTCAACATATGCCAGTGACAGTTGGAGAACAACTGAAGACATGGAATGAAAGTTAAATGATTCGAAAACAAAACGACTCAGGAAAATGGTGAACTGGGGAGGAATTCAAGAATAGTGAAGAAATAAGAAAAATGTATGGTTGCAACCACTATCATCATCAGTTATAAGACAGAGAAGATGGACATATTCTGAGAAGAGGCCAACACAGAATCATCAAAAAGGCACTGAAATAGGAAACAGAGGAACTGATGAAACGAGGATGTAGAAGAGAAAGCCTAAGGTGAACGTTGAGGCAAGCTGGACTGGATTCCATCCATGATATCGAAGTTACAGCACAGGACAGAATAGAATGGAGAACCAGACTTAAAGCCCTGTGTGACATATAATACACAACAGGGCAATGAATAGAGAAGAAAAAAAGATGTTACCTGAGCGCCTGCTCCTCCCTCTCTCTCCTCTGCTCAGCCCACTGCATCTGCTTGAGGTCAAACTTTCTGATCCTCAATTTCTCACCAGAATCCTCAATAACATCTCTGACCATGGCAAATGTGAGGATCTGATGAATAAGGGTGATGATGATTTTGGCTTTCTCACCTGAAGAGAAAGACACAAGTTGTTTTTTTTTCTCTCTCCAACAATTTGATTATAACAATACCGGCATCTCTGACTAAGGGTTTATGAACAGATAACTTCTGCGAAGGTTAACCAGGATAACAAATGCCTGAGGAAGTCAGATGTGTTGGCCAAGAAGCGCAAATATTGCAGTTATACTGTTAACAGGCACAGCGCATTTATGTCACTAGAACAGTGATGAAGAAGCAGATTTTAACACACTAGGTTTGATACAGCTGCAGGTAATTTCAGTGCTTCGTTTTGATTTCGCCAATGACATGAGCACTGACCGTTCAGACAGCAATGACAAACTAAAAAGACCCCTTTTCGCTGTCCTCAAGTGTATTGGGTGTACAGACCTATATTTTACAGACCAATCTGCACTCGATGGGTGATATGGCTAGGCCCGCCACATTTACTTCTTATTTCCCCTGACTTTACTGGTGCTCATTTGAAGTGGACCTGGAAGACGATTATTTTAGAGGTGGGAAAAAATTGGCTCAATGCAGGGGTGAACCCATGACCTTTGGGTCCATAGGTGAGAATATAGGATGCAACTACTAAATTTAAAACTTTTTAGTGAAACCACAACCAACCAACAAATCTAGCTGCATGCAACTTACAACAATATCGACTTCTTTGTGTTGACAGGAGTTACCGTATTTTTCCTGATATAAGACAATGTTTTCCTAAACAATTTTTAACCAGTTGTCATCACACGCCTAAAGGTTTGTCTTTCTATAGACGATGCTCAAGCCCTATGTGCTTTGACAGCCAATGCATCTTCAATGTCCTGTATCCATCTTCAATGTCCTGTATCCATCTTCAATGTCCTGTATCCATCTTCAATGTCCTGTATCCATCTTCAATGTCCTGTATCCACCTTCAATGTCCTGTATCCATCTTCAATGTCCTGTATCCATCTTCAATGTCCTGTATCCATCTTCAATGTCCTGTATCCATCTTCAATGTCCTGTATCTACCTTCAATGTCCTGTATCCACCTTCAATGTCCTGTATCCACCTTCACTGTCCTGTATCCACCTTCGATGTCCTGTATCCATCTTCAATGTCCTGTATCCACCTTCAATGTCCTGTATCTACCTTCAATGTCCTGTATCCATCTTCAATGTCCTGTATCCACCTTCAATGTCCTGTATCTACCTTCAATGTCCTGTATCCATCTTCAATGACCTGTATCCATCTTCAATGTCCTGTATCCATCTTCAATGTCCTGTATCCATCTTCAATGTCCTGTATCCACCTTCACTGTCCTGTATCCACCTTCACTGTCCTGTATCCACCTTCACTGTCCTGTATCCACCTTCAATGTCCTGTATCCACCTTCAATGTCCTGTATCCACCTTCAATGTCCTGTATCCACCTTCACTGTCCTGTATCCATCTTCAATGAAGCTGTCCTCGTCTTGCTGAAACTGTCCCCTACATCACCCTGACATTTAAAATGGCCAAAATATCAATGTCAGCTTTCAGGACAGGATGTTGTTTATGAGCCAATTCTCCTTCATGCTTAGATCATGCAGGACGTCTGTGTTTTTCTTCTTAGTACGTGGTTTTCTAGTGACTCCTTAAGCATGAAAGTACATGAGGCGGGAAAGCTGGCGAGAGACCCAGTTTCTTTCAGGCAGACTGGAATGAGAGTACGTTCATGCAAAGGACCTGCTACATGATGATGATGACGTGGTTTTCTAAGAATTTTTCTGCAGCATTTCAGTTCAAAAGCTTTAATTTTCTTCTGCAGTGACTGAGTCCAAAGGTCACATGCATAAGTTTAAATGGGAAAGATACATCTCAAAATGTGTATTTTAACTTGCCTGCATGTGCTGCACTATAGGTTTCTCATGCCATTTGGTCTCTGCATTGCCACAGGGAGTCAAATGTAAACAATGATGTTTAGAAAAGCTAACAACCCCCCAAATACATAAACATTACAATGTACGATATGAAAAACAAAGAAATATTACTTCAATAAATTATCCTTTCATAAGAATCAAATAAAAAAACACTCAGTGAAAGCATACCAGGTGTTAAGTCAAAAACATTTGTGGTAGAAAGAGTTTTGACCAATCCGGGGTCTTCTAGTTTCAGCTCCAACCCTGGGTCATCATGAGGAGTGTAGCCTCCTCTCTGCTGATAGCGAAACCTAGCACTTTTGCTGCTGGCACGAGCCCCAGATGAGAGTAAGTGAATTCTGACTATCTCTGACAGAGTGAACTGGTCCAGCAAGGTGTCACGCAATGGCATACCTGCAAAAAAATGGCTCAATTATAGCATCTTTCTAAAGATTAAAACGTTAAGAAAATGACATTAATATAAGGAATGGAAAGTGAAGTATTTTTTTGTGTGTGGTTACTCCAGTGGCACAGTGGGGATATCATACTAGACATAGTGTTAGCGAGGATTCAAACCTGGATCTCCAGCAGGAGAGTCCACCATTCTTAACTGTTCCAACTACTAAATCACAAAATTTTTAGTGATGTTAATTCTTATTACAACAGAATAATCCTTGATTCTAGTAACAAACTATTAACCATTTTTGTACTCATTCCTTGAGTTCCCAACACCTCCACAGAGTATCATCATTATCAAGTGGCTTGCCAGCTGGCGTAGGCGTTCATGCATCTCCACAGATCTTGATCTTCAGTGTACTGGATCAAATCCACTGATGATATTCCTCCACGCCACTGTCATCAGCCATCCACCATCATTTCTCTTGGTCTGCCTCTGCCTCTTCTCCAAGTGATCTCTCCAGTCATCACAATATTTTCCAGTGCTCCTTGTCTCATCACACGACCTGAGAACTTTGTCTTCTTATCATTGCTGTATTATAATGTTTTAATTTCATTAGCCATTTCCAGGAAATCACTGTTAATTATTCTGGCAGTTCAAGGTATTCAGAGCATTCTTCTCAAGAACTGCATCTCAGCTGCCTCTAAACTCTTCTCAATTTGTTAGCTCACATTCCAAGATTCACTGCCATACAACAGAAGAGGCTCAATATAACACTTCAGTTTGTCGGATTCTTCTTCTGTTTTTTTTAATACCCCATAGAAGAATATGCCCTTAGTTCAAGCTAAGTCCTTGTAACTTTTGCTTTCTTGAAACTCATTGTTAGAGGATCGACTTCACTGAACTGGTTTTTATCCTACTTGGTCTCTCTCTACGTGCTAATAGCAGCCTGCATAGCATGCACTCCATATTCCAGCCGACAGTCCCCAGGGATCTCCGCAACAACTGCACTTGTGAACCGAAAGATGCATCCACGAAATGAACCCACGACATTCAGAGCACGATGCAGAAAGTTACACAACTTTGCCACTGGGGGCTTTCCAATCTCATGCCAGCATTACTTGGTTGCTTTTTTATCTTCTTCTTCATTCACCGGCTGTGAATTCCGGCGGAAGGTCCCGGTTAATCGTCCGCTTGGACTTTTGGCTTTTACCTGGACCTGAGTTTTGCGTGTACAACCGCTTTGTCGTTCCCTGCCTCATGGGCAGCTGTACTCCGACTGCTTTTTTATGACATGTATGATTGATTACAATGTTCCTACTTTTTGTTTTAATTGCTATTGTCAGGATCTGCAAGTTTTCCTAACTTTTATACACCAACATGTATATTACTTCTGTCTAAATATTCCAAGAAATTACAATAACTTTACAGATAACAACACACCCTTCATATGCCTAAACATAAAACAATTGACTGTATATTACCTAAAACACTGGGAGAAAATTGAGCCATGATAGTGGCCGCGCGAATCACTTCATTTGTTGTATGCTCCTCATCAAGTTCATCGTCTTTTTCTTCAGCTGAAACCAGAGAAAAACTAAATAAATTTGCCAATAAAATGTTTTATTTCATAATGTTTACACATTAACCTGCAAAAATATCATGTCACCTTTTAAATTTTTAAGAGGAAAAAAAAGACAGAAGGAAGTAAGCTATGAACAGTTCAATATTTTAAAAAACTATGTCGATATTTAAAAATTTGTTGCTGAAAAAAAAATGAACATGGGAAAGACAAAATACTGTGGTCACTTAAAAAGATTCAACAACTGACTGAAAATTATACTGGAATGGAACAAACATGAGCAATGGAGCTAATAAGCATTACAAATATGAGGAAAGAAGTGTACCAAAAATATGGCAAGAAAATGCTTTGATTAGTAAAAAAAATGACAGGTCAGGATATAAACTGCTGGCCTTTACCATTAACATTTACTGTGGAAATGGCAAAGGTGAAGATGAATATTCAATGTATATAAGTATTTTACATTTATATACTAAAATTATAATACTGAGTTCCAAAGCCCCATTTGGTAGTGGTGGTTTTGGGGGGTATGTTGTGAAAAACAACTAATGTTTCCTTGGAAGCTGAGGTGTATCTCTCAGAGAGGAAGCAACAGTCTGTGCACAAATAAGCCAGATCTGTCAAACGAATGTGCATGCAAAACTCAAGTACTGGAATAAGACCAGATGTTGATTAATCAAAACTTTCTGCCAGTATTTACAGCCAGTGCATACTAAAAGGAACAAGTTTTGGACTCATCACGTTTTCCATCTGTAGTGCCACAACTGCACAGCTTTCGTAAACAAGCAAAAACCAAAAATACAAACAGCTAATACTCACCCAGTTTTGATTTATCAGCCTTTTCTAACTCCTGGTATTCATCCTCCTCCTCTTCTTGCAGGTAAAATAAGGCACACAACAGCATCTGTAGCAAGTCACACAGAGGGCCATCTGGTTCGTGGTCCATAAGGGCAGACTCAATCATACCTGAGCGAAAAGTCAGTCAAAATGGTCAAATCAAGAATTGTTCCTACGGATTAGTGATTTTAAAAAAAAGGACCCTCTTCCAAGCCTATTGGGCATATAGGGCTAGACCTACACTTTATAGACCAATTGGCACTCTGTGGGATATGTAGTCAACATCATGCCAACCGAATTAACTTCTCAGGACTTTACCTGATACCAATTCAAGGCTGGTCAAAAAAAAATTTCAGCATTGTTCAGATTTGAACCTATGACTTTCAGATCAGTAGGTGGTATTGGTATTCTTCTTAAGCACTTGATCTTGAGGATGCCTACAATAGTCAGATATGATATTTTGATATCTGCATTCATGGAAAAAAGTGTCTGTTCCTGGCCTGTGAACTGGATAGCAGCTGTCCTGCATTCACGTGTGTTTGCCTTTTTACTCGGTACATGGACCTCAAAACCATGTAATATATCCCAGGGTTCTGCAATTTTACCAGTGCTCTACAATGAAGCACACAAGCAAGACTGCAGAACTTAAAGCAGCAGGTGTTGGAAGGATATTGACATTTGCTGACGAGTAATAGGAGTAACAGGCAACGGATAGCCCAAGCGCTGCAGGCTATCACACTTGATTATACAGATAACATAAAAGCCCATTGTATTGTGCACTGTTAAACAGCATTAATCTATGGTTATGCAACAACAAAGAAATGGAAAAAGAAACAAATGGCAATTTTGCGCTAAAATACCCTAGACAAATTTTCAGAATACCATGAACCAAGAAAAGAAATACGAACATCAAGAAAGATTAGCTAGAAAACAGCATCTTCTCTCGGCAACTGAAATATTTTGGCCCTATCAAGCGCCACAGCAGACAAAATATTATTTACGTCATGGTACTAGGAAAGAGGGACAGCACAAAGATGGGCGCATAATATAAGGGACACCTTTGGGTAGGAAAGTGCAAAATGTGGGAGAGCTGGTTAGAGACCAAGTTTATTTCAGGCAAACCATGATGACAGTAACGTTAGGGAAAGGACCTGCTAATTGAGATGATATAGTTCACGCATCTGTTGACAACAATAGCAAAGAAACGTGAACCCATCACTGTTTTTTAACACAATATGAATAAGCATCTAGTTACCTTAACCAAAACAAAAAATGCGAACAAACAAAAAAAGTACTCTAAAAGGCTAATATATGAATACTTACACCATGTTAACCCTTTAGGGAAAAACTGCTTGAAGTCAAATATTGACTTAAATATGTGAGCAAACTCGAGAATCATCACAGCATCTCCAAATAATTCCATGGGAACTCTAGTGTGAACAGGCATAAATTCCGGCATTTCCTAAAATGAATAGCACAAGAGTAAATTCTAGATACAATCTTCTTGGCTTCTCATAATTTTGTTATAAATAGGAAGAAACATTTTTATTTACTTAGTGTGCTGTAAATGCTTGCCTGCGGATTAGAGCCATGGGTTTGGGTCCTGGCGGAGCAGGACTGTTTTTTTTTTTCAATAACGACTCCCAGGTCTACCCAGTCTTAAGAGGGTGCCAGGTATAGTCCTGCGAAGTAAAGATGGCTGGCATAATGCTGACCACAAGATCCATCAAGTGCCCATTGGTCTTTTATAAAATATGGGTAAAGCTCTATACAGCTGGTATGCCTGAAGTCACAGAAAAGAGTCCTTTACTTTTATTTAGTATGCTCTGATAACTAGCACTGTTTCTTCTCCACTGCCGAAAAACATATATAAGCACAGCTGTATTTATGTTTGTAATGGTGCCAGTTAAATGTTTTTCGTCTTATATACTTGTCCGTTGTATTGAAACTTTAAAGCCACTCTGTTTAAACGTGCAATGATAGCTTTTAAAAAACAATTACTGCAGTAACTACTGATTGCGGCATTAACTTACTGCTTCTTTTTGATTAGCTTAGCTGAACCCTATCTAAATTTAGATTCCAATCTAAAGATACTATACATGTACAATTTATATTAGTTCAGTCACATAAAAATGAGGCAACATATATTTTTTTAAATTATCAAACTGCACCCCAAAACCAACCTGGAACATGGCACAACAGAAAAATCCAGTGATTATGTAAATTTCTTACAAAATTAGAAATGCGCTACCATAATCGAAAGATATTTATCTTTACAAGTGTAACTCTGTTGCTTCTTCTTCTTCTTCGAGCTCAGTGGCTGAAAAATCTGGCCGTCTGTCCACCTCTTAATTTCAGTCTTGTTCCAGACCTGAGTGCTGCATGCTTATCCGTTTTACAGATCTGACATGTGTAAGTAGATTGTTGGTTCCCTGCCTCTCAGGCAGATGCACTTCAACTTTGAAGGAAGCCCCTAGTTAGTCGACTCTTACGAAATGCTTGTTGTAGAAGAAGCAGTGGCTCTATTCTTGTTCTCCCCCCCAAATCGACGTGGCCTACTCTGTTGCTAAAACCTTTTTTGATTAGAAAATTGTATGCACTAACCTTCAAATCATCACATTCCAAATCATCTCGAGGTCTTGCCCACTCTCGATACAGTTCAAGCTCTTTTCTTTTTTCTTCCAGTTTTTTCATTCGTTCCTGTTTAGAGTTAGTAAAAAACACAAATGAACTTCAAGGTTATAACTATAAACAAAACTTTAAAATTAAAAAAAATAGAATGTCATTACTCTGCTAGCGATCATTAATTAGTCATCTTTTAGGACATACTTGTCAAAGAGCAGTGGGTCTATCACCGCCCCCCCCCCCCTTTCCAAATAGGACCTCAGAACCCACATGATGAAAATGATGTAATATAATCTTATTTGAAGAAATGTATATAGAATAATAATGAACTTGATTATGAGCTGCATGGCCTTAAAATACAGATTTAACACCAGATATCAAATGATCAAAAGTGCCCCGTGGCGAATACTGCAGCCTGTGTGTTAGTGTTGGGCACTCACATATTTTGGGAGCCAGCATGGTGTAGCGGCTAGGTGCTCACTTACCACCTGAATGTTGTAGGTTCAAATATACATCAAGCCGGATTTATTAAAAAATGACCTTGGCTCCTAGGTCGACCCAGCCTTAAAATGGGTACCAGGCAAAGTCCTGGATAGTAAAGGCAGCATGCATGATGCTGACCAAATCACCCACCAGGGGGCAACTGGTTTTTAAAAAAATTGGTCTAGCCCTATATGCCTAACACATCTAATGGTGTAATGGGTTGGCAAATTTCTGTCATCATCTTTCCTTAAAGGTATACTATGCCCTTCAACATTTGATAAAGTCAGTCTCTATCTCGCAACACAAAGATCAAAATATATAACATGTTGATAAGACCAATCATTTCATATGGTTCTGAAACTTGGAGCACAACTTAAAGAGAAGAAGCCTCATTTCAAATTTTCTAAAACAGAGCATTATGATAAATCTTTGGACCCATCAAAGATGCAAACAGCAGAGAATAGAGAATGAGAAGCAACAATGAAATTAGTAATCTGTTTAAATCACCATTGATAACTGGCATCATGAGAGCTAATAGACAGAAATAAATGGCTTGGGTAAATTGAGAGAATGTCAAATGACAAAGGTAAAAACTGTATACACAAGGCAGTTGAATGGTCATAGACCATGAGGCAGACCAAGAAGACGATGGAAAGATAACGTCCACCAACTGGAAAGAGAAGGCCAACCAGAGAGATGAGTGAAGGCGGGTGATATCTGCAGCAATGAACCTCAAGGGCTCAGAAAGCTGAAGAAGATCTTCTGCAACAGACAATTCCCAGAAAACTTCAACAAACAGTAGCCATTTATAGACGACTGATGCCAGAGCTGATATATGGTTAGGAAAAATAACCATGCCATTACTGAAAACTAAACCAATTTCAGTCTTGATATGCAAGGGTATTGTTAAGCACTATGCTACCATGCCTTTTATACCCTACATACTGAGGGCCCATTTGGCAATTTGGGCAGACTATTGGCCACATGCTCATGGACCATTACTTAGTTACCGAGACTCTCGGCAGGCAGCTAGCTGTTCCCCAGAGGGGCCAAGCCACATGAGATAACCTGAGGCATTTAGGTCGATTCTCACAACTATATATATTTACAGAATATAAAATAGTTCAATTTATCTATACATAATTGCTACAAAACTTACCTTGTCTTTTTCCTCTTTCCTGCGAAGTTTTTCAGCTTCAATCTGTCGTCGCATTTCTTCTTTCTTTGACTCCTTCTCTTCCAAAAACTTTCGTTTCTCATCTACCTTTTGTTGTTTCAACTTTTCTTTCATTAATGCTCGGTCTTCGGGTGTTGGCAGAGGGACATACTCCACATTGGGTTCTTTAATAAATAAAAAGTTAAAGAAGACAATAAACAATAGCTTTGATATTCAAACAAGGTTAAAAACTGTGATTAGTTTTAAACAAAAAAACAATCAAAGCTATGTTTCCCATTTGCAAATTTGAGCAAAGAAGACACAAACAATAGATTTATTGCCTGGCATATTTTGCTGTATCTCGTCAGGTGCACACTACAGTAACAATTACATAAATGAAGCAAATAAGTGAATCCTTTATAACTGAAGTACAATTTCAACAACAATCAAACATGACTGCCTGTTTTTACCAGGGCAGCCGTAAAAACAGAACCATCTCTCTCTGAATACAGAGTTCCGGGCGCAGGTGACGAATCGTGGAAGCTTCGAGAAATCTTAGCGTTCTGCCACTAGTTGACGAATGAAGGATTTGAATTGATTTTTCCTTATTCAAAACGTGTCCAGATTTTAGAAGATGGCGTGCTATCGCAGAGGGTTGATCTCAGTATTCTCATTCTGAATATTATTTTGCATGGCTTTTTCCACCCATACTAGAATGTGCTCCATGGCTCGTTTCTCCAGGCATCGATCCGTTCTGCCCACATAGGCAGCATTTAAACTGGTAGATACAATTTGATCTGGCGTACGTCGACACAGATTGTCTCACTGAGCGCGTTGGCACAGGGGTAGTTTAAAACCTGATAATAGGCAAAGCGGCGTAGAAAGTTTGGCTAACTGCGGTTTTGAGCCGGTCGTATAGCCGTTTCATAACGTCATCTCCTCGATAAGTCAGATGTATGTAAACCTGTTGTTAGGGGATTGAGGTTTCTGTAGTAGTTGGTTGAAACAGTGATTCATTTGATAAAGAACAGGTTACTATAATTTTCTTTTGTTTACCTGCTCGAGGCTCAGAGAAAAGGCAAGACGGACGTTTAATCAGAATGCTACTGGCACCATTTGTATCGGAACTCTTCGCTGGCCGCTGAAGATGCGGATGGAGCGCTTATGGGAATGCCCCGAGTGCTGTGATGTCAGTTCTTGAATCAATCAAATCTTCTATTTCCCTCTATAAGTAATGCTGTCATAAAAGAATTAAAACTGATGGGATCTGAATAAGGACCATCAAGTAAGGACATTAACCACTACAGTATCATTTGTTTAACCATTTCGCCTTTTTTTTCAAAATTTTGTTTAAAAATAAATGCTTCTCTGAAATTCTATTCTAAGAAAGTATAGAAATAAAAGAAAAAGCGGGTGCAATTTTTAATCTTGGTCAGTTTTTATAATAATTCAGGTGGTTGAAACACTGAGCAGACAGGCAAGCGTGCTAGCTGTCATGCCATTGCAGTCCCCAAGTCACTAAATAGATAGATTTTTCATATTTAAAGTCATTATTTTGCACAACTGTGAATTTTTTTAAATGAAGGGAAGTTGCCATTACATGCAAATGGGGCAAAGAAATAACTGCTCTCCTTACGTTTTAACCAAGAAAATGGGTTTTGTTGACAGTCATCGAGAGCAAAATGACATACATTTATTATAATGTCACAATAATAATAACAAAAAGTTCACCCCAAATAATATCTTCAACAAAAATTTTAAAAATGTTCTTGGGTAAATAGAAGCATTTCAACCATGTCTACACACTTTGCAGTTGCAACCAGTACTAAAGCTGTTATATAGGTACTGGCACTGCCTAATGACATCCTGATATTTAAAAAAACCCATAAAAGCCAGAAAACCGACTTTCCCTAAGTGACAGGGTTTAATTTTCCTTCCTGAGACAAATAAATTACTAAAGATGCATAATTTAAATATAGCCTGTGATATTTACCAGAATCAATTTTCTCTCCCTTGTTGTTTTTCAACACTTTCTTGGAATGGCTTGGTGATTCTTCAAATTCAATAGGTGATGACGTTTCAAAAGATCGCTTCGCGTTGTTTTTCCTTTTTACTGCAGAGAATTCAAATGCGGGAAGGGGACCGGCAAAAAAATCTTCAAATTTTGCTGCAGCAAGATTAAGTCTTTTCATAGTTGATTCCTATATTTGAAACAAAAATTTAAAAAAACCTTTAACATACAACATTTTATGATAAAGACAAAGGCAAATATGAAAGCTTACTGATATATTTGCAATGTTTACCACACTTACAACTGGAAAACAAAAACAATGAAGGCTCTTGCATGAGCACATATACATGTTCACATCAATGACTTAGTATCAACATAAACACTACTCAAGAGGCATAGTTAGTGCTGGATTTCCCTAGAATCTACTTTTCCTTATGAAGAATGATGATGCCATATAACCGAGAAGCTACGGCAAAAACAAAACAAAAACTACGATTATACTTGTACAATTATAATGCATACAATTATTTAAAGACAAACAGCACACACACACAAAACTGTTTGACAGAAAGATTTTACCTGTACTTTCCACAATCCATCTACAGGGGCGCAATGCTGCTTGAGAAATAATTTGCTTCTATCTCGGGAATATAGACCTCGTTTCCGACTGTTTTGAGAAAAGAAATGGTCAAAAACCGTTCTGGTGAAATATTGCATTATTTTACTCCAAATATATTTTTTTGTCTGACCAATTTAACTTGTGTAACTTATAACAACTACAGCATATGTTTATTGAATTATAATTTATATCTTACTTTACTGTATTTAGTACATTTTCTTTACATCACACTACTAAAAGATGTATAGCTCAGAATCTGAACTTAAGCAATGGTGAGGATGTACCTCAGAAAAACATGTGCATAGAGGTGTGTGTTGAATAAGTGGAATTAAAATGTTATACCCCAAGCAAACTATCCTCAACACCAAAATCAAGACTCAAGGTCGGCTAGGAACCCTATATACCTCTGTAGGATGCATGGTCAATGAACAGAGTCCCTCCCCCTCCCCCAACTGGAAACGCTAAAAAACATTTGAAACAAAGGTAACCAAAAACAGCCAAAAAAGCAAAACTGCTAAAAATCGCAGGTCTTTGAAATGTTTAATTTCCAATTCTCCCATCACTGTGGGCAAAATTCAAGGGAGAATGGTTCTGCACAAGGTAAACTGGCCTTTTCCAATGCTTTGTTTTTAGGGCTCTTCTGTATACCAGTTTTTACTTCTGATGTAAAAAGTTTGGATCATGCTGGTCACTGCTTTAAGGCACAAAATTGATGTTACCTACCTCGTTTTCAGAGTTGATTAGCTCTTTAAAATATTTTTCCCATCTTCCTAGCCTTTTACGTGGAATAAATACAGGACAGCCTCTCTTGCTTTTAAAGGTGGTTGGATTGTAGCATTCATCTCTGGCTCTCAATTATTTAACCTATTTGTAATAAATATAACATACCTTAACGTGGTTGCTGCCACTGTCTGAATATCTGATGAGCCAGACAGCTTGACCTTGTAATGATATTTAGCTGGATCCCCTGCACCACCTTTCTTCTTCCTCTGGCTGTAAATCCCAAGAATAAACAGCACTGAAATATGGCTGACTAAAACAATTATCACAATCTGCACTGTGTATTGCAAGATTTTAAGAGTGCATTTTTATACTATCAATTTCAACATCTATATAAAAGTTAGCTGTATATCCTTTCAAAAAACAAGTAGTTTGCTGTTCTCAGTCACTATCAGTATCAATGGTACCCATTTTAACCCTTTCGCCCCGGGAAGCAGGAAACCCAGAACACTTCTGTATAGTACAATTCCCTTTAAATGCCTATTTAAAGGCATTTCTAGATTGATACGTTTAAGAGACATCTAATTATGCCTACTCAGCATTTAAGTAGTCAGGATTTAAATATAATTAATAAAAACAGCATGTGGGGGGGGGGGGGGGGGGGAAGGGGCGGGGGATTGTCTCATGATACAAATGGAAAAGCCATGCTGACTTCAAATTTTCCCGAAGCCTCAGCTTGTGCAACGAGTCACCGGGTCCATACTTTTTTTAAGGCACTGGTAGTATACTCCATTAAATGCTAGAACAGCATACTTGAATCAGACTTGTTTCAGGTGCGAACCTTGTGGGTTACAGTCTTCAAGGGGTTTACTGGGAACCGTATGGACTTTGTGCTGGTATAGTGCGCTAGCAGAGCATACTTGAAACGTACTTGTGTTTCTAGTGCGAACCTTATGGGTTACAGTCTCCAAGTGGTTGATCGAGAAATGTTCGGAATTCGTGCCGGTATTTACTGAGCGAGTGATTCATTAGTTGAACCAGAGCAACCTAGAGACTGCTGGTTCATCATTCATCACCAATTCATTATCATCTTGTGTTCGTCCATATTAAAACAAGACTGATGGCACTACTAAATCATATCTTGAGTAATTTAATTTTGTTAAATAGTTAGTGATTTCTCAGAGACATAACTCTTTTAGCCCCAGTGAATTTAGCATCACAGGCCCAAGGGATAGTAGAGAAAGACAAAAAATGCGTTAATTGGGCTTCTAGGTAGGAACTTATGAACGCATGATGCGTTCCTTGGGACTCAAAGAGTTAACTAGTTCCAGATCCAGAAAGGAATGACCTCAATCAAATATAAACCCTAGATGCTTGTTAAATGATAAAGTGGTAAATATGGTGGTGTGATATCACAACCCATTTCCCAAGTTGCAAGGAAAATTGTCCTTTATTTTAATTATTAACACCCATAACTTCTTCTTGTTCGTCTGAAGCACCCTTTAAAGGGCAGTTCACCCTTTGTGTTGTGGTTTAAAGCCATGCTGCGACATTTGCGCTTCTTGGCCCAAAACATTTCAGCAAACCACTAATTCTCTTGTACAACCCGCATGCTGGAGGCGTACAGGGTCTATCATTTTTTACCCTAAATGGACCCCGGAAAACACATGGGAACTTAAACAATTCAAGGGACAACATAATAGCCTATGTTTCAACCTACCTTTTGGATTCTGGATTTGCGGAATTGGAGTCATCATCTGAGTCTTCAATGACAATGATATCTCCATTGGCTTTCCCTTCTTTTGGAGGCACAACAGCAACAACGGTGCAGGATGTCCTGTTGAAATTGTGTGATTTCAATTTGTATTAAAGGGTTCCATGAATCAGTATTTTCATATTTCATCTTACCTAGCAACAAATGCCAACTATCCATTCAATTAGGCAATCATTTTAAAAAAAAAACAGCATGAATCTGCAGTGACAGTAAATCTGATAACAGCAAAACACGTAAGGTCAAAAGGATAGATTGACAAAAAAGAACATAAGGAAGAATGTTTCACAGAACAGAAAGTCAAGAATTAGTAGTAGTACATTCTACCCCACTAGAACATCACACAAGCGATAAACACCCGATGACACAATGTGCCACCATGTAGATGAGGATCACCCGTGGAGAGGTCGGGGGAAACCACGTTCAGCCATAAGACCATATTTATGACCGCACTATATTGCGGCCCCTGGCAAGAGCCAGGGTGGGGCTTCAAAATAAAGAAAAAATGCATCCAAAAAGGGGATGACTGGACGTACCGAGTCAAGAATAAAATTTTGCAATGTTATACATACTATAACTCAAAAATTCTTTCTCTATTTCGTATGTTTATTATAAATGAAGTGTTAACTCCTTCCAAACCTTGACCAATATGTGGGTTAAATTTTCTGTTACCTTTATGACTACAATGTTCAAGCTAACAGTCACACTAGTGGCCAAGGTTAGTGTACATTTCTTTATCTACTAGGACAATCAGTAAAAGTAAACTTCTGCAGGAGTTATATCCCTTTGAACATTTGTTCCACTAATACTCACCTTGAAAAGGTGATTTTTAAGAATTAAATTTCAGTTATCTTCATTCAAAACACATATCTATATGTATCTGAGACAATCCATTTGTCTGTCTTTCATACTGTTAAATACTGGTGTTAGTATTATAGGGGATGCCTCAGTTGCACTTAGAGGCAATGACTAAAGATATGGCAGTGGTGGAGAAAGATGAAGTAGAAGATGGGATATTAAATACAGGGTTTTAGTTCGACCCCTATTCCCCACTAGGCCCTACATACAGGGCAGCAGTGGAGACCAAGGTGAGGTAGAGGACTGGAGAGTAAGACTTTCCTTTCTTTCACCATTATGGGCGAAGACGTGCAGTTAAATCTAATACTAATTCTATGTGTGTATGCGTTTAAAATCATGGATAATGAATGTCGAGAAAAAAATCATACTTAGGTGTAATTTAAGAGTTTAAAAATAAAAGGCCAAGAGGTCTGATTTCATTGCACTAGGTGTACTCCTAGTCTCACCTCTCAGAGCAGAATGGCTAACCACCTGATGAGAGTGTTGCATGAAGCATGAACTCTACAGCTCCAGGGATCTCTATAAAATTACATTTATGAAATGAATGCCATCCATGAAATGAACACATGATTTTCAGAGCTTCAAATGAAATGGTTAAACCACTCAGCTGCACATTCTGTCTGGAGGGCTGGTGATGCACTGCAACGCTGACTATATCATGTTTCATCTCTATACACATATGTTCTTCATCTTCTTCCCTCAGCATTACATAACTGTAATTGCACTGTGCCTGTTTCAGCATGGCTGTGATATCTGGGCCTTTTGGATGGCATATTCAGCTTCTTTAGGAACTTGTTCCAGGGTTAGCCTACCGAATACACATTTCTTAAATCTGCTTTCAACTCTTTTTTAAAGAGGAAGTAACCAGCACACTAGCAATGACTACCACTGTGTGGGTTCTGGGGTCCCATAGGGAGGGAAAAAACAAGAACAGACTCACTGCCCTTATAATTAGCATGTCATAAGAGTCGACTAAGGGATTCCTTTGAAGTCGGAGTGCACCTGCCCAACAGTAACTTACAGTCTGCATTAAAGTGAGCAAGATCTGCATGCAACACTCAAAATGAGTCTTAGGACCAGCTTGTTAACAATTCACCATTTCCCATGATCACAACTTCGGTCAAGTCTGTTTGTTATGTGGTATGGCCAAGCAATACAAGTAGTCATGTTTATCTCTTTGTCCTCCCCTCACCTTGTATCAATTATTTTCAGTATGACTAGGTTTTCATATGCCATTCCACATGATTATGGTCCAGATCAAGTCTTCTTCTTCTTTACATTCACCGGCTATTAACTCTGGCAAAAAGTTCTGGTTGTTCATTCCCTTCTGGCTTTGGTCTTGTTCCAGAACTTGAATTCTGTGTGAACATCTATTCCACAGATCTGGCTTATTTGTATGCAGACTGCAGCTTGCCTCTGAGGCAGATGCATTGTGACTTTAAAGGAAACTCTCCTAATTAGGTGCTTTTATGACTAGACAGGGAGGCAATGGGTCTATTCCCCCCCCCCCTTCCCCCACGAATGGGGCCCTGAAACCGATGCAGGGAATGTCCCTGCTTAAGTGTACTTGTCTCAATTCAAGTATGTCATTGAGCAAAGACACCAAAGTATTTGTTTTATTGTAAACCCCTAGCTATATTCCCATTATTTCCTTGCAGCGTTTGATCGTACATAAATATATATAATTTATTTAATAAGTTTTTATCTGTTTCTTACAAAACTGTCTTGTTTATTTTCTTTTCATTCATGGTTTTCTTTGCACTGACATTTCTACTGTTATCAGATCAGCTTGTCACCTTATTGCTCATGTGTCCAATGCAGGCACTCTTCCGAATATCAGTCCTAAATTATTCACCGTTTAAAAAATCCAATTCAGGACCTCAAGAGATCATATAGTTGAAAATGTGGAATAGGAACACTACGAACTATTCTTCGCGTTATTATATAATTTCCTTTGGACCCAAATCTTGAGTCTTCAGTAGTACAGTTGTAAGTATTCCCGCTAGCACGCAGGTGACCAGTGTACGATTCTCCGTGGGTGATAGTTTATTTATAGCCCTTAAAAGGGCGGTTGGCACGTTGTGTTGTGGTTTACAGCTAGGCTGGGTTGTGGTTTACAGCTAGGCTGCGTTGTGGTTTACAGCTAGGCTGTGTTGTGGTTTAAAGCTAGGCTGCAAAATATGTGCCTTTCAATCGGTCTTGTGGTTTACAGCTGGGCTGCGACAGCGATATGCTCAATGGTCATTAACAGATAGGTAATCTTCTTTCTTTTCGTTTGTCCTTGAAAGGGCGGTTGGCACGTTGTGTCATGGTTTACAGCTAGGCTACGATATCTATGCCTTTCGCACCAACACATCTGATTTCAGTAAAGTCCTAATTAGTCGCCTTTTACAACATGCTTTTTAGGTGGCAGTGGATCTATTTTTTTCTTCCTTAAACATGTGGCCCTGGAACCCACAAGGGGAGTCACGGGTAATGTGAACAATGGATCATAAATTATTCCTCCCCACGATGCTTTAATGGAATGAAAACTACTACTCCCCGCGGTGCTTTAACTGAACCAAAACTACTACTCCCCACGACACTTCAATTATGGATCAAAATCTATTATTCCCCATGATGCTTCAATGGATTAATTGAAAACTAGGCCTTCCCACGGCGCTTAGTTAATCGTCTAAACACCGCTATCCATAACGCCAGAAGTGGAAACTGATGATGATGGCCTAAATTTTTTTTACTATATAGCCACTTGAGTCTCTCTAAGGGATGTTTTTCGCAGTGAATAATTTGGGACCAGCATTGGGAAAAGCGCCCAAATGCATATTGTAATACACAATATCAATAAATATGGGTAAAAGAAGGTGTTACACATCAAGTAACTTAACTTATGTAAATCGATAAACACGAATTATACTTTCTGATACAGTGGACATCACAATTCACACGACTGTCTGATTATTATGGTATAAGTTATATTCAGACAAATTTATACATTATACGTGTATTCAAACATGATGTATTCTCACCTCTGAGCTCCGATACTTATGTCAAGTGTCTCTCCAATGAAAAAGCGATCCTTCGCAAAGACAAACACATCATCATTCAAATCATTCAGTCTACTTCTGTGAGTCAATGTTGCTAGAAACAGTAAAGGTTTCTTCAGGCTATCCTGAAATGTTGCCAAGTTCTTCTTTGCTTTCTCCTCACATTCTTCTGCTTCTTGGAAAGTCAGTCCTGATCTGCCTGTAATGGCACATGACCAGACCAAACTGTTGCAAAGGATGATTCTTTCAAAAAACGCACTGAAAATGAAAGAAAAAAGCAGGAAATAAAATTCCACGCGTAAAATGAACTATTTAGTTTTACAACTTGTCTAAGTAAAAATGGCGCTGTGATTAATCGAAACAAGGCAGGCAGCCCATCGTCTAAACGGTCGCTGTCTAAACTGACAAACGCGACGACCAGAGCAGGAAAGAACAAATAAGGATGAATAAATGTAAACATTAGTTGTCATGCCAACTTAGTCATCCAAAGATTAAATTTACTTACTTGTAATCCCTGAAAATTTCATTTGTGATTTTACAATGAAATACCTCTTCCTCTGGATCGAGATCATGAGGTATTTTCTGCTTGTGAAATGGTTGCTTACGGAGAAGCGGCATGTTAGTCTGGTTGTTTTGGAGGGAAACACAAAGGCCTTTTACACACACATAAACTGAGTATAAACCCGATGTTCCTCAGCTGTATGAAGGGAAAAGCTCTAAGTATTCCAAATTTGTCATCTGTGAGCCGGTGACATCTGTAAATTATGACAACTTTGATCAAATGTTTAGTCGTAGCTGTACACCTCTACCTCCGTCACAAAGAGGTCATAATGCAAGCCAGCGTGAACACACGAGTGGATATGGCTATGCATTCACACATTAGAGGTAGAGCATCGAAGATTGACAATTTGTCAACTTCAAAGCACATTTTCACCTATAAAACATTTTAAATCATTAGGTTAGATATTCTTCTTGTGTTTTAATACACTACTTAATTTTGTTACTTCTTGTAAGTATTTTTTCTTGATATTTTTCGGAAGGAGATGGATAAAATGAAATCGGAAAACTCCTCTGAGGAGGAGCTGTTCTAATAATAAAATTAATGCGATTGGTCAACTCCGACTGTGACGTAGTTGTATGCAAAATTATATTCGGGAAATTGACTTTATGTGTTTTCTTCGCTGAAAACTGGAAGAGAATTTATTTCGCAATTTTAATTACCGCTGTCTCACAATGAAGAAAGAACAATGTTTGCACTGCTGTTTAAACATGAGAAGGCAGTTTACTAAATGTGAAGACTGGTTAACAATGACCACCAGACACTATCATAAAGCTAGAGGTATAAAAACATTTTTTTTGGCTCATTGGGCCTTCTAATATACATATCTTGAAAAAGAAGGTGGCGCATCGCCCTCCATGCTGAATCTCTTGTACATCTAAGAATGTCTGGTTCTGTATCCTTGACATCTTCTCCGTCTGCTTAAGGCTGAGAGTCAGGATCGCCATGGCATAAACAGAGACAGAAAGGACCAGACCCTGATATAAAAGACTTAAATAACGCTGCTTACAGTTTGCTGCAGCCATCACTCTCCAAGCCCCGCTTGGCTTTTACTATCGCCTGGTCTACGTGCTCAGTATAAGTACTATAAGCCTAGCTGCAATCAAATCGTATGCCCAGGTACTTCATTACCTGAAATTTATTTCACAATCTCTGAGCACAGACTTACAAATGGCGTTCTGGTGTTGACAATATAATATGTTATCCAAAGAGATCACGTCACAGCTGTCTTCGTTGGAATGGCTAATGCACACTCTTTACCACACCAATTGCTTGTTCTGTCTGTAGTTCTCCAGCAACCTGCTCTCTGTCTTTACCCTGCCGATACACTAACACAGCGTCAGCGTACTGTGTAAACGTTGAACATCAAGGAAGATAATGGTGATCCCTGTTGCAGGCTGGGGTGTGCAGTTGTAGGTTCGGAAATCTGTCACACAAAAAACTACTACTCGTTGGAAGAGGGCTGCAGAGATCCAACTGATAAGAAATGGGCCTTTTTTTCGCTCATGAAATTGACACATTAAAATGTGTTACGGTATTCTGGCGTACACATCCTCAAGATCATTAGCTGTCGTACACGTTTCAATGCCTGAATAGAAACCTTCATACACGTCATGGGCAAAAACTGCTACACTTGTCCATGTTTCTCTATTTGGACAGTATTCTCTAAAGGTAAATGAAAGAATGCATTGCCTGTCTAGCTGGCGTGATTTTATCTGGCAATTATCTTCTCCAACAGCTTACCTATAGTATTCTGCAAGGCTTTTCCCCGATACCCTGAATTTGTGTGAGATGTTTGCCAGGCTGTGGCAGAGGTATCAGATAGCTGTCAATCACTTCTTCTTGATACTAGCATTAGTTACACTGTTATTTTACAAATTTGCTAGTTCTTCCAGCTCTTCTTCAGTACACTTTCCAGTCTCATCATACCTTATACCATCTGGACCTGGTTCACTGGTTTTTTTTTTTTTGTTGTTGGTCATAGCACGGACTTGATCTCATCAACTGTCACCATGTTTTCTTCAGCAATTTTCTAGGACTTCACTTTTCTGAGGTAACTATCGTGGCAAAGCTACACCTACTCAATTCTGCCTGACTGTTCTGCTGTATAAAGTGTTATAATAGGACCTTGCCCTTTTTTTCGTTGTCCTCTGCTAGGTGAGGTCAGCTCTCTGAAAGTCTCTCTCTCTCTCTCTCTCTCTCTCTCTCTCTCTCTCTCTCTCTCTCGTAAAGCTTGTTAATAGCCATTCCCTAGTTCAGTGGCTCTCAACCTTCCCAATGCGGCGACCCTTTAATACAGCTCCGCACGTTGTGGCGACCCCCTATCATAACATTTTTCCCCCGTGTGGGTTCCGGGGTCCCATTGTGGGGAAAACAAGAATAGACCCACTGCCTCCCCAAAAGCATGTCGTAAGAGTCGACTAATTGGGGAGCTTCCTTTGAAGTCGGAGTGCATCTGCCGGAGAGGCAAGGAACCAACAGTCTGTATTCAAGAGAATGAGATCTGTAAAACTGATGCACACGCAACACTCAGGTTCTGGAGCAGGACTGCAGTTCAGTAGTGGACGAGCAACCAGAACTTTCCCCCAGAGTGTACAGCTGGTGAACGCAAAGAAGAAGAAGAAGATAACATTTTTTTCGTTGCTACTTCATAATATTAGTGAATATGTGTTTTCAGATGGCGTTTGGCGACCCCCGTGAAAGGGTCATTCGACCCACAAAAAGGTCGCAACCCATAGGTTGAAAACCGATGCCCTAGTTCATAAAAATTCATAAAATTGTTGTTGGAAACTATGCGTTTCCCAATTCAAATGACACCAGTTTGGGCTGTTAGACACATGCACGCATGTCAGAGATAACAAGCTGAAAAAAATAAGGAGCAGGGCCATATTTAGAACCGATAAAGTCCTAAGCCAAATAAAACCCTGAGGCCCCTACCGTTTTAAATTACATCAGATAATCTCAGAAAACTTTAAAATATATGCAGACTCTTGGTTCCTTGCCTCTCAAGTTGATGCACACCGAACTTCGAAGAATGTCCCAAATTTGTCCACTCCTACGACATGCTTGTTAGGGAGGCAGTGGGTGTATTCTTGTTTTTCTGCCACAACGAGGCCCTGGAATTCACACGGAAAGGACCCTTTTTAAAACTAATGAGCGCAAAATCCCAACAGGAATGAGATGTCTCAGACAAGCTCACGGAGTAACAAGAGGAGATAAATTCAAGAATACATAGATTATAAGAAGACTAGAACTGAAATCAGTCACACAATTTATTAATGAGCAACAGGTGAGTTCGTTTGGTCATCTGATGAGAATGCCCTGGTACCAAGTGCCTCAGAGAGCCACGCTTAAGGCATATAATAATAAAATGAAAACAATTAGACATGGACAGCAATTTTTTTTTTTTTTTTTGGGGGGGGGGGGGAGGGGGGCATATTATGAGAAGGAATGGATTTGAGAACTTGGTAACAACTGAAAAGATTGATGGAAAGAGAGCAAGCGAAAGACGAAGAGACAAATATCTGGATGGTGTGGCCAGATAAACAAAAACATTGAACCGATCCGTGATTCTGGTGATCGTGTGAGATGGCGAAACATGACAGCCTACGCTTACTGATACCCCCCGTGTGGGTTCCGGGGCCCTATTGTGGGGAAAACAAGAATAGACCCACTGCCTCCCCAAAAGCATGTCGTAAGAGTCGACTAACTGGGGAGCTTCCTTTGAAGTCGGAGTGCATCTGCCTGAGAGGCAAGGAACCAGCAGTCTGCATTCAATTGAATCAGATCTGTAAAACTGATGCACACGCAACACTCAGGTTCTGGAACAGGACTGCAGTCCAGAAGTGGACGAACAACCAGAACTTTACACCAGAGTTTACAGCTGGTGAACGCGAAGAAGAAGAAGAAGCTTACTGATACAACATATGCTGATTGTGAATGGCTTCACCAGCCCAGTGTAACCTGCAGTTCTATACAAGTACAAATCTCAATAAAACATGGGATAGTTTATCTTTAGTATGGGACGGGCCTCGGTCAGCTGGTCCGGGTGTCTAGCGGAAAAATATTTCTCACCCCTTAAAGTCCATCGTGTCCGAACTGTCTGCCAGTGTCCCTCTGCCACCTGCTAACAAAGTCCAACATGTGTCCGGTAAACCAATCGTAAGCTTGCCGCTCGGTCGTCCAGGTATGCAGAGTGCTTTAATTATGCTACCGCGACGACTTCTTATCTCACAGTACCTTCCGCAAAATCACCACTTCGTCTTGTCCTTTCCGAATAACATCCGGTAATTCGTGCAGCAGTGGAAACCAACCCTGAGCTTCATGAACTCTGGTGAGCCCACTCTCTGAAAATGTATAGGAGCTCGTGGGCCGAAACATTTGTCGACCAGAGATTACTTCTACTGATGATTGGTAAATCCCTGCTGGACATGCTCCCCTGTGGAGTTTCTTCTTATTAGTAGATTTCTTCACGGTTAAAATAAGCAACAGCTGCGAAAAGAGGCTTTAAAGCTCCACAAGAACCGTACAATGAGCGACAAATACCCGGGGATACAAAAGTCCACCATTCAGATGAGTATCTCCCGGGCACAATTCCCAGAAACCCCGTTCAACCGTTGTGTTATGTTAGGCACCCGACGAGAATCGTGGCGGGGCATTGGAATAAGGGAAAACAATGTGTTCCATATTGGGGCGGAGTTCTGAAGTAAAGGTGTTACGGAAATGAAGATTAATTTAAACAACGAATTAGAAGACCACATTGCATCTCCCACAGTACTTCAGTGAGCTGAATCAGTTGAGGTTTTGAACAACGGATCAACATCATGGCAAACGGATTGTAACCCATAAGTGCTTCGTTCTTCTTCTAACTCAAATCTGAGTACGAAGAAGCTCAGCACAGTGCACAGACTCTGTAGCACCAGCGAGGATTCCGAAATACTTTGGATATATTTTTAACTTCAAATTTTGCCCGGGCGGCGCCGTTAGGTTACTTTTTTTCAATTATCAACTATCAAGGCATTTCTTACGTGTGCAACAATGCATACTGGCGTTCGATCTC